ATGCTATGTTCATGATTGACAATTAATCGTGGTGATCGTAGAAAATCTTTGAACCAAAATGTTTCTACGATCAACACGATTGCCACGACTGACTTCAAGATCTGATATGATCTGATAGGATCACCACGATTAGTCCACGATTAAGACCACGATTTTAACCGTGGCGCGAATCGGGATAGTGTGAACATAAGATGAGTAGATTCTTAAGAGTTGGTGAATATGTTACAGGGAATGTGTGAAACCAGGGATTTCATGTATTCCCTAAAATTTCCAGGGATTTCATGAAATTACTGATTTATTGGTGTTCCGTTATACACATTCCCTGTTAGGATATCAGTGAATGTGTGAAATTAATGTTTGTAGCTTAAAACTTTACTGTTGAGTCTCATTTCATCCCTTAGTTCTTTGGAGTTGAAAACTTTGACAATTTACCGATGACACTTTTGGCTAATTACTACCTTGAGTCGGGATACCAAGTTAATTTTCTCACGGCTTTACTGTTTAGTCTCATTTCATCCCTTAGGTCTTAGGAGTTGAAAACTTTGACTATTTACTGATGACACTTAGTCAAGCTAAGAGAGGGAAATTACCAGGTTTCGATAATATTCCAGTTGATGTTTTGACAAATGACATCTGTATAGAGTATCTTCATAAACTGTTTTCTACATGTTATGAGATTGGTCATGTACCCTCCAACTGGGCCTAGGGGATCATTACCCCTACCTCTAAGTCTGGAGCTGACAACCTGAGAGACCCAATGTCTTATCGCAGCATCACACTAGTGCATCTTATTGTTATGATTAATAATTTAATCAATATTCCTTTTGTAGTTTCCAAAGTTACAGACGTTGTTTTTAGCGATTTCGTTTATAAATGGAAACAGGACCTTTTACAAGTTGGTAGCTTAACTGGTAGGGGAGGTAATAAGTTACACACGTACTGTACTTTAAAGGTGGATTTTTGCAGTGATTTTTATGTTAATTGCAATGTCTGGCTCTATGAGAAAAGCAATAGCTTTGTTTAGATGTGCGGTAGCGCCGCTTACAATCGAAACTGTAAAGATTTTATTGAAGATGAGTGTCATGTTTTATTGCATTGTCCTTTGTATGCTGATGAGCGATTGCAACTTTTATCTAAATGTACAAGTCTTTTATATGTTTTTTTTGAAAATCTGGGTATGTTGAAAAAGTTAGTTTTCTTCTAGCTTGTCCAGGTGTATCGTTTTTATCTGCCAAAACCTGCCTTAATATTCTTAAAAAGCGTACTGCAATTTTTTTAATATCTTCTTAATGTAACTTGTACCCTTATTATTGCATTTTTAATATTCATATATTATACTCTGTATATTGTGGCACAAGTGTCTCTCATAATTCCGTACGGAATGGCTCAACATTTTACTGTGATATAGCATTTAAAAAATTAGCGAGGTTTTTCAAACATTGTGTTTTCTTTATTGAAAATATACGTTTAAGTTGAAACAGACTAGACCATTCATAGAAATAACTTGGAACATACATCATCCCGCTGTTGAAGAAGAGCTTTGGGATATGGGTTTGGGAAGGAAAAGGTATTTTTCAAACCATATATTTCATGTTTGTCCTCAGCGTCTTCACGAATGATGTGACAATGGACAAAGAACTGTTTCTCCACACAGCTGTGATTTTCGAGTCGAATTGTGGTGGTCAGGGTTTCCAGAAATGTAACTGTTGTCTAAACCAGTGTAAATTAATACGTTGTAAATGTTTTAAAGTGCTACTGAAGTGTAGTAGCTTGTATGATAACAGTCTATCTTGTCCCAACAAATGAATTTTATCAGCATATACTCTGTAGTCGCATTATAAATTTGGTGTTCTCTATTTCAATAAAGGCTTAAAGGGATTTCATGAAATCCCTGGGCTAATATTTCAGTAATTTCATGAAATCCCTGGCAATTTTAGGGAATACATGAAGTCCCTGGGGGTCACAGGGATTTCATGAAATCACTGACTTCTTTAGGGATTACGTGAAATCCCTTGTTTCACACATTCCCCTGTTATATATATATATATATATATATATATGGTTACATCGAAGATTGATTTCTCCACTAACTTGGGGGAACCAATTGCAAACCTTATGCAGATGAATTGCACGAGGATCATTCATCAAATCTGTTGAAAAGCATGTGCAAATATCGTGCATGTGAACAGCTGCGTTTTGGTATAAAGTTTTGTTAAGAATTCGCCAATTTATTGAACTCCTGACAATAATCTTTTCAACTTTACGAATTTGTTTCACAATACATCAGTTCATGTGTAAACAGTACGTTTAAACAGTATGGAATATTTTGCAAAATCTAGTTTAGAACAGTAGCCCGAAGTAAGTGGCTATATTTACACTAGTGAGTCTAAACTTTTGATGGGAAGTTTATAAGACGAGTATATGAACGGCAACTTCTCCTGAATTGTATAATACCCGTGAAGGTTCGGGTTACAAGTGATCTTCAGGAACCCATGCTTGTCGTAAGAGGCGACTAACGGGATCGGGTGGATCGGATCGGGCTCGCTGACTTGGTTGACACATGTCATCGGTTCCCAATTGCGCAGATCGATGCCCATGCTGTTGATCACTGGATTGTCTGGTACAGACTCGATAATTTCAGACCGCCGCCGGAATATTGTTGAGTGCGGCGTAAAACTAAACTCTTTGTATTGTATAACACGACGTTTTCAACACCTGAAGAAGGGGCTTGAAGCAGCCCAGAAACGCTGTTATACAATACGGAAGAAGTTCCCACCCGTATGCTCGTATTACAAAAGATGAGTATGTCCTCACAAACCTGCACAATGGGTCGCTGCTTATCCACAACAGCAGCGCCACGACGAAGGGAGACACAAGGCTGCTCAATTACTTCTCCTTGGTAGGCTGTGTGAGGTGTCTGTTTTGGGGATATTCCAGGGACTGGTGGCGTAAGTGGTCGGCATGGGGAAATGTTTCCGGGAGGAAAAAACGCGGTCAGTATGAAATGACTTCACTCTCACTCTCTCTGATATATTTATACAGAGTGTCTTACTATGGTTGTAAACGTTTTACGACGACCAATGCAATAAGGATATAGCATTGTTGCATGGTTCAGTATAGTGTCCTCTGCCATTGTCTATAGCACTTGTTGGATGGTTCAGTATAATGTCCTTTGACATTGTCTAGCACCTGTTGCATGGTTCAGTATAATGTCCTTTGCCATTGTCTAGCACCTGTTGCATGGTTCGGTATAATGTCCTTTGCCATTGTCTAGCACCTGTTGCATGTTTCGGTATAATGTCCTTTGCCATTGTCTAGCACCTGTTGCGTGGTTCAGTATAATGTCCTTTGACATTGTCTATAGCACTTGTTGCATGTTTCGGTATAATGTCCTTTGCCATTTTCTTGCACCTGTTACATGGTTCAGTATAATGTCCTTTGCCATTGTCTAGCACCTGTTACATGGTTCAGTATAATGTCCTTTGCCATTGTCTAGCACCTGTTGCGTGGTTCAGTATAATGTCCTTTGACATTGTCTATAGCACTTGTTGCATGTTTCGGTATAATGTCCTTTGCCATTGTCTAGCACCTGTTGCATGGTTCAGTATAATGTCCTTTGCCATTGTCTTAGCACCTGTTGCATGGTTCAGTATAATGTCCTTTGCCATTGTCTTGCACCTGTTACATGGTTCAGTATAATGTCCTTTGCCATTGTCTTGCACCTGTTACATGGTTCAGTATAATGTCCTTTGACATTGTCTATAGCACTTGTTGCATGTTTCGGTATAATGTCCTTTGTCATTGTCTAGCACCTATTGCGTGGTTCGGTATAATGTCCTTTGACATTGTCTATAGCACTTCTTGCATGTTTCGGTATAATGTCCTTTGCCATTTTCTTGCACCTGTTACATGGTTCAGTATAATGTCCTTTGACATTGTCTATAGCACTTGTTGCATGTTTCGGTATAATGTCCTTTGCCATTGTCTTGCACCTGTTACATGGTTCAGTATAATGTCCTTTGCCATTGTCTAGCACCTGTTACATGGTTCAGTATAATGTCCTTTGCCATTGTCTTGCACCTGTTACATGGTTCAGTATAATGTCCTTTGCCATTGTCTTGCACCTGTTACATGGTTCAGTATAATGTCCTTTGCCATTGTCTTGCACCGGTTACATGGTTCAGTATAATGTCCTTTGCCATTGTCTTGCACCTGTTACATGGTTCAGTATAATGTCCTTTGCCATTGTCTTGCACCGGTTACATGGTTCAGTATAGTGTCCATTAACTTCTGTATGTGGCAGTTTGAAGCTGGTATGATGAAGAGGAACCCTTTTAATGGATAGTAAACTTCTCTATAGCAATAGATGCACTGTATCATCATTGCTTTGTTTGGATGTAACACGTTATATTTGGGATTACACTTTCTGAGTACAGTACTTTTACAGTACAGATTCTAGTACTTTTGTTGGGTTGTACTGTACTGAGAAAGTGTAATCCCAAATATAACATGTTACACTATCTGTTGCAAAGTGCGATATAGTTTCAGTACTATCGCCAAGCATCTGTTGCAAGACACAGTATGTTTTATACCATTGTCAGGTATCAATATTGTTGGTGTAAAGGGGCGGCGGGGTAGCCTAATGGTTAAAGCGTTGGATCGTCACGCCGAAGGCACGGGTTCGAATCCCCACATGGGCACAATGTGTGAAGCCCATTTCTTGTGTCCCCCGCCGTGATGTTGCTGGAATATTGCTAAAAGCGGCGTAAAACCAAACTCAGTCAGTCAGTCAGTTGGTGTAAATATTGTCAAGCACATGTTGTCGAATTATGTGGTACTTCGATGACTATTGTCAAAAGCACGATGCTGCGTTTCGGATATAGTTTCTACAAGACAAGCAGTCGTTTCTTCGGGGAATTAGTTTTAATTTGTTTGCACTGAATTGTGACATATATGGATGATAACATTAGGACGCTGACATGTTTACATCCTACTTTCAGAACTGCAGCAATGGGTGTCGGGACGTTTCACTGGCTGTCACACCGACGTTGTTCCACGTCAAAGTTGCTGTTGCTCGCCTTCCTCGTCTACATGTCTCTGTGGACATTCTCATCGGTGGCTTGGTCTAGTTACGGAACAGGAGGTGACACAGAAGTTATGTCACGTGATTTAAGTCGTGGCTACTTCGCCGACCAGTCAGGACTTGATGATCCTGGAGGAAGAAATGCTGGCTTGCTTGGAAGTGCGTTGTTACTGAAGAGATCAGGGTATCACAGAACAAATGGTCCGAACTCAGATCGTGTGATTTTAAGAAATGTAGTTGGGCCTGAAACACGTTTGGAAGACGATATGAGGACCTCAGATGATGTCGTAGAAGAAAAATACCATAAACATTCACGTTTATTCAAACCTTCTAAGCGAAACACCTCACAAATTGGAATTTCAAAGGGTGCAACCCTTGCTTCGTCAGGTGTGAACCAACGCAGTTCTGACTTCGAAAATATCAGGAAATATTTCATTGTCCGTAAAAACATGACGAACTCTTTTATAAATCTTCATCGATACCATTTCCCTTTGAAACCAAACAAGTGTTCAAGCAAAGCAGACTTTAAAATAATAATTCTTGTGCATTCAGCCGTCAGCCATTTTCACAAGCGGCAGACTATCAGACGTTATCTTGGCGTCAAAAGGACTCGCAGTGGTATTCTGTTCGATTTCGTGTTTTTACTGGGTCAAACTTTAAACACAAGTCTTCATCGAAAATTGACAGCGGAATCGAAAACATATTCAGACATCGTTCAGGGAAATTTTACAGATTCTTATCAGAATATGACATACAAACATATGATGGGATACCACTGGGTTGTACATTATTGTAGCCATGTGAACTACGTCATCAAAATTGATGATGACGTAATAGTTAATGTTGAAAACGTAGTGAAGTATATTTCGACCAAGAAAATCAAGAAGGGACAAATAGTGTGCAGTGCCCATTTAAAAAGTAAGATTAAAACATTTGGAAAGTGGCTTCCAAGGAAAAAACAATTTCCTTTTGATCACTATCCGCCGTATTGTTCTGGATTTGCGTACTTGGCACCGGTGTCGGTTATAAAGCGCCTTTATGAGGCGTCGTCCTCAGTACGCATGTACTGGATTGATGACGTGTACGTGACGGGCTTGCTGACGCTCGCCACTGACACAACTGTCGTTGCACTTTCAAATATGGAGGCATATAAGCATATAGTGAAATCTCCAATACCAAAGTTTATAATGAAGAAAGCACTGTTCATATTCAATGACCCAGGTTATACATATGGTCGCTCTTCTTAATTGAAAACACGTCAATGTGAAATAAATCTAATCCAAGCCTTTTATTGATATGACCTATATCAACACGATCGACGATTTATAAAGTCCGTTGACGTCACACTTGTCTACAAAGCATTGTCATTTACTCTCATTGTAACTACCTCCTAGAGGATATCACTTTTCCACAAGGAAGCCGGTTTGATGCTGTGATACTAAATGTATGTCCAGATATCTTTTGACTGATAGTGAGTGAGTGAGTTTAGGTTTACGCCGCACTCAGCAATATTCCAGCTATATGGCGGCCGTCTGTAAATAATCGAATCTGGACCAGACAATCCAGGGATCACCAGCGTGAGCTTCGATCTACGCAACTGGGATACGATGACATGTGTCAACCAAGTCAGCGAGCCTGACCACCCGATCCTGTTAGTCGCCTCTTACGACAAGCATGGGTTACTGAAGATCAATTCTAAATCGGAACTTCACGGGTTTCGACTGTGATAGGCACTATTTAACCAGATCTCAACTGGATGGGAGTATGGTCAAAGAGTGAGTGATTTTACACAGCTTTTAGCAATATTCCTGCATTGTTTGATCCACAGGGGCTTGTATTGCTGAAATTAATACGTCCTAAAGGTCCAACACTCGTTCACTGATAGCCAGAGTTACTCGATCACTTATTTAAACAATGGCACGATTTCACTAAACTCGTGTTCCTATTGGAGGATTATTGAAAAGTGAATGCTATACATTATTTGGTCAGTTTTGTAAAATGCGAGTAAAATGCCTATCCGTTTTCTACAGATAGGCAAATAAAACAAGCATTGTCACTAAGGTGACATAATCCCCCGCTGCAAATTATCAAGTTAAACTTAAAAAGTAATGAAAGTGAAGATCGTAATTTAAGATGACTTCAAATGTCAACAAAAACATTACCAGTCAACCTCTCTTGATATCTTGATCTTAGTTGTTCAAACGCACAAATATTTTCAAGACTCACTTTGACCTTGACATGAATGTCTTAGTGTATGAAATATGCAAAAATAGTAATAAAAAAATTGCTTATAGAAAAACATTCAAGGGAAGTCTTGAAAGACTATGAAGAAAATCCAGTGAACTGTTCATGAGATATTTCGCTGACAATCTTAACATGCAGTTTAACATGCTGAAATCTTCAAAGTGTCGCTGTGACCTAGAAAATTATGTGAAGGTCACCAAAATCGACTGGACCTTGCACATTCCCTCGATGAAGCTTGGTGTCAAATATGAAGAAAGTCCAGTGAATGGTTCTTGAGATATCTCGCTGACAAGCTTAACATGCAGGTTAACCTACTGAAATCTTTAAAGTGTCGCCATCACCTTGAAAATTAAGTGAAGGTCACCAAAATCGACTGGGTCCTGCGCCGTCCCTAGATAAAGCTTGTTTTGGAATATGAAGAAAATCCAGTGAACGGTTCTTGAGATATCTCGCTGACAAGGGTAAAACATTAAAGTCTCCTTGTGACCTTAAAATGAAGGTCAAGGTCACCAAACCTGACTGGGACCTTTCTTTTACTGTGATGAACCTAGGTACCAAATATGACAAGAATCCAGTCAACGGTTCTTAAGATATTCTAATTCGTACGTACGGACGGACGGAGCCTAATACTATATCCCCCGCTACGCGCGGCGGGGTATAATGATGTAATTTATCACCTACGTCAGATAAACTGATGTACAAAAGAAAGTACACTTAGTACTCTGTGTGTGAAATAGGCATTATGTCGGAAAGCGCAGGTCAAATCTCCAATCTCATCATCACTTGGTACTAAAGGAAAAATCTCCAATAACAACGTAAATATCACTTGCTTGTAACGGTGTTAGTACCTACACTGAAACGTTGCACTCATTGCAGTAAAGAAGTTGACTATCCATAGAACTTGGTTTTCCTTCATCTATACTACTTCCAAAATGCATCTCAAAGAAGAAACAAGGTAAATAGTTTTTAAGGTGCTTTGAGTGTGACTTGGAAGTCGCAAACATTCAAGCATTTTGTACTAAAAAATGGATATGGATTTGGGATAGAGGGAGTTTTACGCCGCTTTTAGCAATATCCCTGCAATATCATGGTGGGGTACACCAGAAATGGGCTTCACAGTTTACCCATGCACATGCCCTGTGTCTTTGCGAAGATGCGATGGTAGTGTAGCGATCGGCAAAGCAGGAGGGGGAGGTACACCGAAGTGTCCGGCCTTGGCACAATCTATTGTACTGTGAAGCATTTCGAGTCGGGAATGTTTTTTGTTTTCTTAACATCTTTAATCCTCGCAAAGACACGAGGGCCTGTGTACCCGTGGGGAATTGAACCAGTCTTCCGTGTGAACAATGAAGGCTTTAACCACCAGGCTACGCCACTGCCCCAGCATAAAAAAGATGTCAACCTGTTAATAATAAACCACGGAAGCATCCCAATTGTTTGCCTTATTTTCTGTTTGCTTCAACTGAAAATGTGTCCAGTTATAATTACGATTCAAAAGTTATGTTGTCTGTGTTGGTACATGTATACTGAACAACATTAGAAACGCACCACCCATATAATACGAAATATCCCAGTCAGACTGAAATGTACCCATGACATCTGAGCATCGTCGGTGCATTTTAGTTAGGTGCGTTTCTAATGTTCAATATATTTTGTTATTATCTGTAACGTGTGTGTGGCCTTCCAATAGCTTGTTTGCTGCCTGCAGGTTTTCTTTGGTGGGTGTCGCTGATGGTGTAAAATCATGTGAAACTTGACTTACCACGCAAAAAGTAAATTTACCATTAGAGGGGAGCAATAGAAGTTGAACAGAAATCAACAATGTATGATGCAGCCCTTAACAGTTGAGGTGGGTTGGACTTACTGCATGTTTAACCAGCAAGAATTGCCCAAATTCATGGTAGATCACTTCTGAATAGTTTTTAAACAATTATATCATGTCAGTCCTTGAAGCCCCTGAAGACTTCAAATGGGAAATATTCCTAAATACATTTCACTGTGACTGACATTTTGTTCATCTTCTATGAGAGTGAGTTTAGCAATATTCCAGCTATATGGCGACAGTCTGTAAATTATCGCGTCTGGACCAGACAATCCAGTGATCAACAGCATGAGCATCAATCTGCGCAATTCGGAACCGATGACATGTCAACAAAGTCAGCGAGCCTGACCATCCGTGGGTTATTGAAGATCAATATTGTAATCCAGACCTTCACGGGTCTTCATCTATGAAATGAATAATTGAGAATCTTCATCCTGCTAAACAGCAATCCTCAAGTAGTATCTTCTTATCGAATGCAATATGGGCATACATACACTCTACACCAACATCGCAACTGTTCTGAACTAATTGAAAACATGTTTTTTCCCTTAATTTATTTTCTGATGTACATTTTTTGCGCATTACATCATTTTCTGTGCCAGTTCCTTTGCGCGTGCCTTCTCAAACTTGGCCCTCTTTGCTTGTGACTTGGCTCCCATGATACCACCACCCCAGTGTCGGCGGATCTGGAAGAAATAAGACATAGTTTGAAGATTTCATGCATACTTAACAGAAAACAGAACTCTCAAAGCAAAATTACAGCTGTACAACAGAGGTCTGTACATCGATCTATAATCTCCAGGGTATATGTCCCTATAAATCTCCACTATACCCTGGATGCATCTACAGCTCGGCCTGATAATTTTATTACCTCCCTTTGCTGGCTCTGCATTCACACAGTAGCCAATCAGACAAGCCGCCGTTTCAACCCACCTTGTCATTGTCAACAAAGATGGCGGTCGCAGCTGCGAAAGTATGTTCGCAGTGCGACTCAGGTCTGGGGGGAAACATACAGACAAATTGACAGGTCCGAAACGTTAAAATATATATGCAAGAATTCCTACCTCTCTCAAGAGTACTTCTGCAACAATTGTATTACCAAGTGTAATCGGTTAGATAATTTAAGAAGCGAAAGTGAGTTATGATTTGTACGCTCAACTTCCCAGTGTAGACACCTGATTGGATAAAAAGCCAACCAAGGTAGGTAATAAAATCATCAGGCCTAGATGCATCAAGGGTATAGTGGAGATGTAGATGTATACCCTGGAGATTATCGAGGATGCATCAACATTAACAATCTATGCAATTGGCATATGACATGTATAACACCAGTCAGTAAATCTTAACACCCATTCCATTGGTCACCTCTTATAAGCATAAACCAATACTGTAATATGTCACAGATGCATTTAAATGATTAAACAGTCACCTGGCCATACCAAATCTGTATTCATAGCTAGCAAACAGTGGGGACTTATTCTAGACAGGGAAAACCCCATAGGGGTTTGGACTAAGATATCATGGTTTACCTCTGGCTAACACAATAGTAAAGTCTGTACTTCTTAAATTTTCATTTTTTTAATATATTTTTTTGTGTTAGTCCACACAAGCTCAGACACAGCCAAGGAGTGAATCATTACGATCATATACAATGAAGAGTGACATCACTGCCGTGTGTGGACTAAGGCAGGTCCATATCTGTCTGCATACACTGTATTGTTGAAAGTTCTGACTGCCCAGAAACTCGGAAACTACAAACACCAACAACTGGGAAGTCTATCAAAAAAAATAAATTCTTCCAATGTCTTAAAAGACATACTCCGAGGAACTGTTACAAGAGGTAAGAAAACAAGTACATAATACAACACTGTTTATGGATGCATCTCCTGGCTAACATTCTGTGGTTACTTTAATCAGAACCATTGATTTCAAAACACAGGGTAATAGGGTACGGTCAGCCATGTGTTTACACCCAGCAAAATGGGTTTTTGGATTGTCAATTTACTAAAACTAGTTTCCCACTGCAAAGAAATTGATCAGTAAGTGCAGACTCAGACAGCCAATTGGAACGGAAAATTTGATTAAAATCAGTAATAGTCATCCTCATTGTAATCATCATAGCCAGCACTTTCAACCCCAACAATTTGTTTTGTATCTTCTCCCTTGAGAAAACAGCCCACATTTTGCCTTCTATCTCTATAGTCTGTTTGCAGTGAAAACGTACCGATGAATTTCACTTTAAACAAGAAAGTAAATCAAATAGAGTGAAATTAAGATTGCAAATCCTCATATCAGAATTTTATTCAACTTAGGATAAAAGTTGTTTAACAAACGATCATAGATTCAAATCGCTATTATTGGTTTGTATTACAATGGGGTAAGTGCAGTAGTTGGAACAGTGAAACAAATGCACGTGTGGTACGTGATGAGCATTAACTTAGACCAACCCTACTTGTTCTCGGTGTTTCATTTAATGTGCATACACCCTTGTAATACAAACCAATAATACCGATTTGAAACTAAGATCGTTTGTTAAACAACTTTTATCCTAAGTTTAATAAAATTCTGATATTTAAATGTTCAGTTGGCAAGGTAAAATTATGAGGATTCGCAATCTTAATTTTTTACTTTATTTGATTTACTTTCTTGCTTAAAGTGAAATTCATCGGTGCGCTTTCACTGCAAACAGACTATAGAGAAGCTGAACTTATGCTGGAATGTCCACATGTTATTTAATCCTGCTGTTAACAGGCTGACAAAACGTGATGACATAAGTTATGCACAAAAACTCTGTTTGGTTGTAAAGGGACATCAATTCTGATAGAACAAGCCCATAATTCTTCAGACAGAACAGGCTTAATGATTATCAGTAATCAGATGAACTTATCTAACAAAACTGGCCCCCTTGTAACTAGTTTTTGCATGTACAAAAGCTCAGACACAGCCAAGGAGTGAATCATGTTGATCATATATGATGAAAGGTGACATCACAGCTTCGTGTACATCATAAACATATCAGATACTTCGGTTTTCATATCAGACTTCTTTTTTTCACTAACTAAAACTGGAGCCTTTGGGCATATTGGAAAGTCTTAACACTACAAGTCTTCCCCACTGCCACCACATGCTGACTAGCTTCACAACAAATATTGGTTGATATAAAACCATTTTTAAATAGAATTTTGAGCACTAAAACAATTTCATTTGTTCCACTTCAAACTTACACCATGAACCACTATTTACTAAAATAAATATTTTGTTAAGGTTGAAATTAATGTTATGTCTCTAAAAACCAATAGAATTCATTAATTTTATCCTTGATACTGATAGTTGGATTCCCTTGGGTACCCTTTCTATGAAACTGGTAGAATTGTGACTCACATGCATATCTCACTCATGATAGCAAATATTGGGAGGGTGGGCAGTCATAACTTTGTGCTGAGCTATACTACTAACTAGAGAATGGTGAACACTGCAAGGGAAGTAACTGCATAAGCAAAATCACTACACATAGCAGAGGCAGCAGGAGTCCAAGTGCTAAATTGACAGCAGAGCTGTGTAAATGTTGGAGATCACTTAGAACATCTGCTCAGGGTTAAAAAGCTCAAATATATGTTCTTCATGAACTGTCAGGCAGAATATATCATCATTGCAGAATGTTCTTGAAAGTTCCTGACAACCAACAGTGCATTTCTCAGTACAAATAGTGATAGAGCACATTAGAACATCTATTCAACACAACTTACTACACATATTACCCTTGACCCAGTTCAACTAAGGTCTTAGCATTAAGTTGATCCTAACTCCCATACTTCAACAAAGGTTGATTGTGTTGTTTGATGCCGTACTCTGCAATATTCCAGCTATGTGCCAGCGGTTTGTAAATAATCAGATCAGACAATCTAGGGATCAAACGCATGATCATCAACCTACACAATTGGCATATGATGACTTGAGTCAGCAAGCCTGACCACTCGATCCCGTTAGTCGCCTCTTAAGACAAGCATGGGTTGCTGAATACCAATTCTAACCCAAACCTTGCATTCTCCGATCCCTAAGGAGTATTATCTGACATGCCTGTTGAGCTCCAAGATTTAGCATTCAGTTTTATCTCTGCATACAAATTAAGACAAATTGAGGTTTGCTCCTGCAGAAAATGAATCAACTGACCACTAGACCAGCAACTTAACAGGGCAACAACATGCATCCCGACTTTCATACCTAAATTTGAATATTGCATCTCATCAGGTCAGTGACAGGAGCAGGATACTAGATTTAGCAGTTACTGGTATCACAAGTGAGAACTGTCTCTAAGCAGAATGGCTTCCCACATTGCACATCTGTAGGGATTACACCCTGATGAGTTGTGCAAATGCACTTGGCTTACATTCTATATATATGTATTCAGTCAGCTCTCGTGAACCAGAACTGTCTCCAGTACAGATATCTACTGGGCTTTGGTCATGGGTTACCATAGGAACTAAAATACATCAGATACATTTAAAGGGCACCGACTCAGACAGCCAATTGGAACGGAAAATTTGATTATAATCAACGGTGTACTCATTCAAACTGTATATCATCATTGTCAAGCACCCAATTGATCCCATGACCAATTATTCCAGCCCCCAATAAATCATCACTGGATAATGCAACATAATGGACATTTTCTCATCGGTTAACCCAAGCTGCCTGGGAGGCGAGACCAAATGTACATCAGGTGTATGACAAACTATTTGACTTCAATAATTATTTTCAACACTGTCCAAATCAAGCAACTTAAACCAATATATACCACTATTCAAGGCATTTTGAGATGGACACTATAAGCTGATACATGTTGGGTTAACAGCATTAATGGCCTTACCTCCTCGCTCCTTTCATTGAAGTTCGTCTTCACTGATTCTACAAGTTTGCCAAGTTGACTCTTGTCCTCTCTGTAAACAAAACACATTGTGGAATAAATGAAGTTCACCTACAAGCAATCTATAATGGAAAACACAAGAAGAATTCCAAGCTCAGAGATCTAGGTGGTAGATAAAATGTCTTCACCATCTTTACAGACAGCAAATGTTATCATCACAGCTTGGACATACAATTCAACTTTCTATTCATCCTCCTGGCTGCCTTAACATTTAAAATTTGGGGGGAACAAAACGTACCAGTACTTGGTTCAAATTAGGATTTGTTTAAGTGTGTAGTTCCTGTATTTAAAAATATTTCAAAATTGCATTTGATGCAATAATAAAGATAAGTCTTACAGCACCTTCTGTACTGGTTGTATTTTCAGTGGAATACAAGTCAATTCCACAAAGTCATATCGAATGAATTTGAAATTATTAATTGCAACTAGCAGTTTTATGGCCATTTGCTGCTGATGCCCAGTCAAACATCGACCAGATGTTCCAGATATTCATTCCCTAGTGCAAGAAGCCACTTTTGACCATTACTTCAGTGAATGACTTACGAGTTGACAGTGGTGATAGCTAGACATGTAGCTGTCTTCCTGTGTACGACACGACCAAGACGAGCCTTGCCCTTCACGATACAGTAGGGGACACCCATCTTCCTGCATAGTGCTGGCATGAACAACACCAACTGCAAAACAAGATCAACCAGTTCAACAAAACAGTACAAATAGTTACAATATTCAGACAAAAATAAGGGCATGTCATCTTGCTCAGTAGGTCATGGTTTCAACAGAAGATTCTGGTGAAGAAATTCTAGTAACATCATGGCAAGAAAACAAGCTCCATCAACTTCATGGAACTAAAACATCCATTAACCTTGTTTCCTGACATAAGGGTCTTGCCTTATTAAGACCTGAGAAGCAATATCCTCTCAATCTACACAGTCTGCAAATACCCGAGGCTGGACCTGACCATCCAGTGATTGACAAGCTTTGATGCCATTAGAGTATGATGACATACATCAACCAAGTCCCAGCACCTGACCCCATTATTCAGGGATGAGAATGAAGTTTTGAGAAAAACTCTGAAAACTAGCCAAAGCTCCTGATATTTAGGCATTTTAGACCTTTAAAACTGGCTCAGAAATGACAATATCATGAACACAGCAACCCTTAAAATACTTTAAATCTGCTGAAGCAAATTCATTCAATTGTCAATGGACTTAGACAATTCACAAAAATGACCCTGGCCTTATGAAATTCCCGGAATTCCGTGGAAAATTCTCATCCCTGATTATTGGCCTCTTACGAGCAATGGGTCTTGTAGAGATCCACTTCTCAGATCACTCGTAAATATTGATCAATAAAGATTACATAACATGCTCAGTTTCTTCTTTGGACACAGACTATGTTCTGCCTCAAAAACTTGCACTTGTGAATACTTTATGAACATAAAGAGTTGGAGTAAAACCTGTATAATATATACATTGGCTGGGTTTTGTTAGCTTGGGAATCACAAGTACAAGTAGCAGACAATCACCGACTTTCATATGTATAGGGAATTCATAAACAGTGACATCCTGTTGACAATGTTAGAAATCGTTCACAATTTCCATGAATATTATAGAAGTAATGTCAAGCAATGGAATCCTTATTAAACATGTTTAACAAAACTATCGTGTCCAAGTAGTTTTTATAATAGTGGTTGCTCAGACATCCAAGGAAGGAATTGACCATCTTTGAGGTTTCACCCCCTCTGTGGAAACTGCGAATAATGGATAAAAAGCTTCATCACTGCAACCATTCAAGAGTTCTTCTTAAACAAGGAATGTTTTTCAGAAATACCAAAACAATGAAAGGCACCAGTTCTTCCTGTGTTTAATAGCCAGTTTCACACTGATTGATTATTAAAAGTTTATAGGTGTTTGGGCAACCAGGCCGATTTCCATCTTACCAAACAAAGGTTTGCTGAGAGAACAGTTTCATATGAAATAGTTTCCAAGTTATGTTCAAAAAACGGGACATGACAGGTGAACAGGCATCACCCATTCCTACCCACCCCCTACATCTTCGCAGGGGATAATAAATTCCCATGGCAATTGGTAAGAACTGCTTCAAAAATAACCAAAATCTAACTTCAAAGACTTTTCAAGATTGTGCAAATCTTTGTAATACTAAGTTAGAGGGGTAACACAATGCCACTTTCTAATATTTCTCCATCATGACATGTCGGCTATATACCGGTAGTCAGCCTACATTGGTTTGAACATAAGCCACTTTGATGACTTTGACAAACATAGCGAACCAATGATTAATCTGGGCAAATATCCATGCACCATAAAGAAGCAAGTGTACACTGTTTACAAATCTGCAGGTTCTTGCTCAGATTTAAAAAGCTCGAGTTTGTGATCAACATAAGCATTCTGTAGATGATATAACCATCATTGCAAGACAAGTGCAGATTATTAGTATAAAAAAATTGTAGATATATCAATATTCCAATTTGCCCATTTATATTCCCTAAATGTGAGAATGATTCATTGTTTTCTCAACTGGCTGAATCTTTGCAGTTCTCACCTCAATTGGGTCTACATCATGTGCAATGACAACCAGCTGGGCTTTCTTGGACTCGATAAGAGTTGTAACTGTGTTGACACCAGATCGGACCACAGGGGGGCGCTTTGTGGGTGCATCTTCCTTCCCTGAAGCACGTTCAGCAGCACGGGCACCGAGACGAGCCTTCTTCTGCTGCTTGGTCTCAGGCTTGTATTTGTCCAACAGTCTGAACAACTGTGTAGCTGAAATTAGTTTCACATTCAATGTCTGCCAAAATACTCGGAAACTTAAAGAACAGGTTCTTAGTTCCAAGCTCAGAGATCTAGGTGGTAGATTAAATGTCATCAACATTTTTACAGATAGCAAATATTGTTTATCATCACTGCTTGGAAATACTTAAAGAGAAACAAAGTCAGTTTCACACTGTTCCCTTGAAACCTTGGGGTAGTGAGCCAGCGAGTTTAGTAATTATTTTATGCCGCTTTTAGCAATATTTCAGCAATATCACAGCAGGGTACACCAGAAATGGGCTTCACACACTGTACCCATATGGGGAATCAAACCTGGGTCTCCTGAATGACGAGTGGCGCTTTAACCACCAGGCTACCGCACAGCCCCACCTTCGGACAGGATCGGACCATCCGCATTGAATAACATGTAAAATCTACTAAGGATGTTGGCAGATAACAGATAAAAAAACCCACAACAGTACAATACTTGACTTTCTTACCAGTCTGTCTGTCGAGAGCCTGTGTGAACTGGTTGAGTGGTGGAGGAACCTTCAGGCGTTGCTTCAGAACAGTAAACTGACGCTGGAGTCTAATATATTTGGGCCATCTCACAAATCGGCTAAGGTCACGTTTGGGCTGGATATCCTGACCTATAGATCACAAATACAAGGAACAATTTAAAAAAGAAACAAACCTCAAAAACCTAATTTGCCATGCCACAAAAAATATGTGAATTGCTCAGACATCCAAGGAAGGAATTTACCATCTTTGAGGTGTCACCCTCTCTGTGGAAACTGCGAATAGTGGAAAGGTCTTCATCATTGCAATCACTTCACAGACTGATGTACATTGTACAATCCGAACATGTTATATGTTGCTTAATTTTTAGAGGTTTTGTAACTTAATAACAAATTGCAGTAATGAAGAACTTCAATACCTTAAGAAATATTATATACTTGTTAAATTAATCCAGAATAAGTAATTCAATTTGTACAATATATTTCGTAAAGTATCTTATATAAATATTCGTGTGGTAAACTGACTTTACATGCTGAAATTATTACGAGTAGTAACACTATTTACACATGGGATATATTCCAAGGAACTAAACAAGCCAAAGCGTATGAATCTTCCCGAAGTAACTATTTAACAGTATCAACGATCTTACGTTGGGGAAAAAAAAAGTTACACCCGGGTTATTGCATTGGTAATCATGCTTGTATGACAACCAACAAATTAACAGATACAAACTTACAAAATTCAGCCTACAAACTGACAAGTATTAGGCTGTCTTAATGTTGCAAAATGTCCATGAACATTATTAGGATTACAAGGACTTTTTACAATGGATAAATCACTGTTACTTGTAGAAATCCCCCAGCAATTCCCATCCACATGATCTGATAATTTAAGAAAACATGGTTGCTCAGACATCCAAGGAAGGAATTTACCATCTTTGAGGTTTCACCCTCTCTGTGGAAACTGCGAATAATGGATAAAAAGCTTCATCACTGCAACCAAGATATCCATCATATTTCCATGATAATCAATATGAGCCCTTGTAGTAAATAAATGGTTATATCCAACCGTCATGACAGTGGTACCTATGACAAACCATGACGAAAAAGGACAAGACTTTTACTAGAAAGATGATCTAACTATATACTCGAACATGATAGAAATTGTCATAATAAGTGGAGTCTTAATGGGATAATTTGAGGGGTTTTATTACTGAGGCTAGTAGACTTTCTTGGTAAATTTAAATATACAATGGTTAACAACTTGTCTCAGCAGCACCAATACTTACCGATTCCAAAGTTCTTTGGCCTCTTTTCAAAAAGTGGGTTGACCACTGTTTTTGGCTCAACCTTTTTTGACAGCAAAGGTGCTGCCGCTATCTTCTTCTTGCCCTTCTTAGGTTTCGGCTGGATATAAAAAGAAAATTGTTAATTATACGAGAATCTGTTAAACAGGTAAATCTCTACCAATTGCTATTGAGATTAGACGTTTATATTGAAGACTGCTCAGACATCCAAGGAAGGTGTTTGCCATCTTCGAGGTTTCACCCTCTCTGTGGAAACTGCGAATAATGGTATAGTCTTCATCATGGCAGCATTAAGGATATAATCTAGATAAAACTAAACAGGAGAAAACACATTGCCAGATAAATGGCTGCTGGTCTCTGGACACGTCCATAACATTTGACTGCGAAACAAATATACCAAGAAGCATCCTTTAAATTTGATAATTTTATTGATTTTGATTTCAACAGTGAAACGACATTTGTGCTCCCCTTTATTAGGAAAAGACGCAACTTCAGAAAAGATGAACGCCAATATACAAACGTGTGTGCAAATCAAAATTACGAGGCATGTTTACCCCTTTTCTCATTGCGACTATTTAGTCACACCATCGATAGGCGTGCAAAAATTTCGCCACAGTTATGAAGGACATTCAATGTTTAATGAATATAACACATCAAATTGAAAATTCAGCGACTCTGAAGCCGAGATGTCGCCTGATGAATTTCCCTATTGGAAAAAGTAATCACCCACCATGTTGGTTGGCCGAGAAAAGGCCGAGATCTCGTTGTTTGTCGTGAACCACGAGATTAAAGGGAGCTAATTTACAATGTGTTTCCGGCTTCAAATCTGAAGTGAATAATGCCTTGTCTTTCGTATACGACTAAGGCGTAACTATATAATATGCGAGTTTTATTTGTTATTCCAGGTGACCTGCGCATTAGTACTTACATGCATGTATAAAAGCTCATTAATCCCACAAAATATTTCCAGATAGTGATATAAAGTCCGAAAAAAGGATTTGCTTGCCTTTTACCAAATGATGAAATTGGCAATCCACAAGTTCTAGTCTCGACCTGTACTAGATTTGTGTTCATTTCGAACCTGGCAAACTAATAGCTTGCATTTATGTTAAATATTGCATTTTTTCACCACCATATTCACTTCTTTCAAATATTGATGTCTCAACTACATATAATGTGTTTAACGAAGATATGTTTTATGTTTCAGGTACAGGACTCCGATAACTAATTTCAAACATTTGTGCTTGAACTCTTGACCTGGATCATGTCTCAGCATGCACGGTCAATGCCTCAGAGTAAGGATGCTCTTCTGAAGTCTTACACCAAACGTTTAAAAGATGACATCCGTTCCATGTTGGACAACTTTACAGAGATTATAAAGTTGGCACGTGTAAGTAAGATAGGGGTTTTATTTCAACCTAAGCTGGTTGTTGTTATTTTTCCAGTGCAACTTTCATTTGTCTGGTACCTATGCCAAATATGACCAGTTTTCACAAAACATACATGTAGCAGGGCGTGGAGGAATCCCACAGATGACATCCTTACCATGTCAGCTTGCTGATGGGGTTATCTTCTTTGGTCATGTGGACAAGGTCTCTGACTTCGGGTCAGAAGGTCCGTGGTTTGAATCCTGGGACTGAAATTTTATTGCCGCTACATTGGCACCCAGCGTGGGGCTGAGCACCTTCATATGAAATTTGAGCAAAATAAGTCTCAATACCCTGCTTTGCGGCTAACTTAACTAACTGATTTTAACTAGAGTTTCCAATTGAGATACCAAATCATTTAACAAAATAATATATATTGTTTTCAAAAAAAAGAGATACCAGGTTTTGTAATAGAGAAAATGTAATCAAATATATAATGACATACAAATTTGTTTAAACAATGTACAGAGTTATTTTGATATAAGATTTCATGATGTCTTTTAGCGGCATTTAGAAGTTGTATATAGATGTCCAAGATATTTTTTATGGATTAAACTTCCTTTTTATTTCCCTCACAACATTTCGGGACCATTACAGATCCCTTCATCAGGTAAACTATGGTCCCAAAACATTGTTAGGGAAATAAAAAAGAAGTTTAATCCATAAGAATATCTTGGAAGATGTAAGATTGTTTACACATGATATTTAATGTTTTTGAGAGGTTGTTAGATAATAATTTAAATCATGTAAATGAAATAGTCATAAAAGCCAAGATACCTTTCCTGCAGTCATGCCTTCCGTAAGTTTAATATAGCATGAAGGCTCTTATTTGGTCATCTTGTTTTTCATCAGCTTGAAGAGGATTCACAGATATCCCGTACAACCCAGAGTGAACAGGACCAGTATGAGATGCAGGTCCGAGCAGCCAACATTGTAAGTTGTCACCCATGTTAAGCTCACCAAGGTGGTTTGATTGATTGACGCTGCACTCAGCAATATTCCAGCTATATGGCGGCGGATGGAAGTAATCGAGTCTGGACCAGACAATCCAGTGATCAACAACATGAGCATCGTTCTAAGCAAATGGGATACAATGACGTGTCAACCAAGTCAGCGAGTCTGATGATGCGATCCCATTAGTCGCCTCTTACGACAGGCATGGGTTGCTGAAGACCAGGTCTAACCCGGATCTTCACGGGTCTCACCTAGGTGGAAGGGAAAGAGGCAGCGGGTGCTATTGTGAACTATCATTTAAGTCTTTCTAAGGCATCTCAATTCAGTGTTGAATGTTTCATCCCTTGGGTGCATCCTGATTGTGGGCTCAATCCTTCATTATGTTTCTACGTTTGTCAGCACCATATTTGGGGACCCCCTCTGTGGTGTAGTGGTTGGAGCGTCCGCCCGGATAGCGGAAGGTCGCAGGTTCAATCCCCGACCGTGTCATACCAAAAGACGTTAAAATATGGTACTTGTTGGTCCCTGCCTGGCGTTCGGTATAAGTGGGTACAACAAGGACTGGTCGGCTCGGAGTCAGTATAATGTGTCTGAGTGGGGTATTCATGCTTCACTGCGGCATGGTATCTCAGTGGGCTAGCACTATAAAACCAGCTTCAGTTTGGGCTAGTACAAGCAGCCGAATATACACATACACATGCATGCACGTCGTCATATGAGCGAAATATTCTCAAGCACGACGTTAAACCCAATTTCACCTCTCCTCACCTCACCATATTTGGGTTTGGGTTTTCACCAAAGTGGTAAATGTCTGGCATCTGGATCAAATTAGACTTTCCACACCATTTTATGACTGGAATAGAACTGAAAGTGTTTTAGAACCTACACACTTTCTCATGTTTGTTGTTGCTTTAGTTTACTGTTAGTAATGATGACAACTTTTTCTTTCTTATGTCTTACATGAAGACAGATATCAAGTAAAAAAAAAGATTGTCAGAAGATTTAATGGTGTGAAAACATTGAATCGTGTATATAAGCCATAAATAAAATGTGCTTTACGTATTTTACCATTTTTGTAGTGAACAATTGCTGTTAAATTGATTGTTGTTCTACAGCAATCATTGGAACACAACTTGTATCGTCATGGTGATGGGTTTGAATCCTGGTTTAGGGCAGTGGGGTTGCTTAGTGGTTAAAGCGTTCACACTGAAGACCCAGGTTCAATTTCTCACATGGGTACAATGTGTGAAGCCCTTTTCTGGTGTCCCCGCCGTAATATTGCTGGAATATTGCTAAAAGCGGTGTAAAACCATCCTCACTCACTTGAATCCTGGTTTGGTCTGATTATGTTGGCACATGCTCATCCTTGTTGGTTTCATGCAAGTTTGAGGCCTGCATCAGTTAAGGCTTTCCTCCCTAAGTAAACTAATATACATGATATAACTGGAATGCTGTTTAAGCAGTATTAGACCCACTTTTTCCATTGTTTATGTGATGTATCTTTTCCCCTTTCAGGTGAGAGCTGGCGAATCTCTGATGAAACTTGTATCAGATTTAAAACAGTTTTTGATTTTGAATGATTTCCCGTCAGTGAATGAGTCAATCTCCGGGAACACGCAGCTGTACAAACACATGCAGGGTGAGGTCGACGCTAAACTCATGGTCCTCCGAGACGAGATGGCCACGGATCTATACGAGCTGGAAGACGAGTATTACTCTTCCGTCTATAAATAGCAATATGAGGTCATGGTCACGAAATGGTATGAAAGTCAAATTTTGTGTGGAATTTTTAAAGTTAAGCTGGCATTAATGTATGGGAAATTTAAATTAAATTTGAGCTAAATGTGTTTGGTAGAATTATTTCAGGGTAATCAGGGTGTGAAATGCCCTTGCTTTGAATTGTTAGACTTGTCTTGATGGACTCTTTGAATTTGTATTTTTCCATGGACTTGATAGTGTGCCTAAGTCAGGCATTATATCTTTTCAACCTGTCCTAAGCTCAAATTAATCAACCGACATTAAATGTCATATAAAGTTGCATAAAAGAAAAAACTTCGCATACACTCTATCTATAAGTTCTTTGAAAGGCATTTTAGAAGTTGTAATGAAGAAAAACCAAGTTCTATGGATAGTCAACTTCTTTATTGCAATGAGTGCGACGTTTCGGCATAGGTACTAACACCATTATCAAGCAAGTGATGATAACTTGCTTGATAACGGTGTTTTAACCTACGCTGAAACATCGCACTCATTGCAATAAAGAAGTTGACTATCCATAGAATTTGGTTTTCCTACTCTATCTATAGCCAGTAACAGCCATACCCGTGAAGGTCCAGGTTCTTCAGCAACCCTGGCTTGTCCATAAGAAGCGACTGATGGGATCGGGTGGTCACACTTGATGACTTGGTTGATGCATGTCCTCGTATCCCGGTTACATAGTTCAATGTTTATGATGTCAGTCACTGGTTTGTCTGGTCCAGACTAATTTACAGACCACCATCTGTAAAAATGCTCAGTGTGGCATTAAACAAACACCAAAACCAGAGAGTTGCCTCCCTTATAGTGATATGTCATTAGTGCTGACTATGCCAAATGTTCATAACAATTTGAATTGAAAGGGTCGGAATTGTGTTAATATGGATGAACTAAGGAGAAATTAGTGCATCAAGTCGAGGGATAAATGAGTGAATCAAATATGTTTATTTGAAGCATTCACTACTGTTACATGACAATTTGAAGACAGAGTATTGTCTTGTATTGTCCATCTATTTCATTATGACAGCATTTGATAACATCCTTTTTATGATGTGTACATGTTCATTGTAAATATCATCAATGAATAAATCATCTACATATTTGTTTTTGTTCTAACTCTTCATCCAGTCTTCTTAGAAAGAGACCTGTGAACGTCCGGGTTAGAATGAATCTTCAGTAACCCATGCTTGTCATAAGAGGCGACTAATGGAATCGGGTGGTCAGACTCACTGGCTTGGTTGACACATGTCATCGGTTCCCAACTGCGCAGATCGAACCTCATGCTGTTGATCACTGGATTGTCAGGTCCAGACTCGATTATTTACAGACTGCCGCCATGTAGGTGGAATATTGCCGAGTGCAGCATAAAATTAAACTCACTCACTCACTCTTAGAATGATGCCCATGATGTCAATCAATGGATTGTCTGGTCCAGACTCATTTTTTGCACACCACCACTTTCATATTGGTGGTGTATTGGTGTGTGCAGTGTTAAACAACAAGCAATCATCATGTAGGGTAGGTATTTTCTTGTTGATGGAATGGCCAGTTAAAGGTTTAATTAAGTGGGAAGGGATGCTGGTTAGAGGTCCCAAAATATTAATTAATTAAAATACCAACTTGTCAGGGAATTTATGTTTCAGTACATTACATATTTAATCTTCATATCTAACCTGCATCACCATCAATGATTCAGCAGTTAATCCGCCACTCAAATGTTCGCCCAGCTGACCAGTTCATATGGTTATTGTAATGTAGGCTTCTCTAGACAATGTAGTGTCCAATTTCAAAACTGGACAACTGATTTTTCAGATGTATCTAAACTTGCTGAAGTCATCCTCGATAATCTCCAGGGTATACGTTATGATCACTCTCCACTATACCCTGGAGATTTACTGACTGGTGTTATACATGTCATATGCCAATTGCATAGATTGTGATAATCTCCAGGGTATACAGGGTATGCATCTCCACTATATACCCTTGATGCATCTAGGCCCGATGATTTTATTACCTCCCTTTGCTGGCTTTTTATCCAATCAGGTGTCTACACTAGGAAGTTGAGCGTACAAATCATAACTAACTTTCGCTTTTTAAATCATCTAACCGATTAAACTTGGTAATAATAATATATTGTTGCAGAGGTACTCTGAAAGAGGTAGAAGGAGTTCTTGCATATATTTTTTAAAGATTTCAGACATGTCAATTTGTCTGTATGCTTCCCCCCCAAATCTGAGTCGCACTGCGAACAAACTTTCGCGGCTGCGATCGCTATCTTTGTTGACACTGGCAAGCTCGGATGTAACGGCGGCTTAGCTGATTGGCTACTGTTAGAATGCGGAGCCAGCAAAGGGAGGTAATATAATTATCGGGTCAAGCCGTGGATGCATCCAGGGTATAGTGGAGAGTGATCGTAACGTATACCCTGGAGATTATCGAGGATGGCCGAAGTAAGCTCTCAGCTCATCTTGACATGAAGCTTATGTGTTCAGGTTGCCCAAGACATTGTCATCTCACTCAGATAAAGGTAATAGGATAGGCCAAAGGTTGAAGTGTATGCCCATCATGCCAAAATCCGTGTTCGCTTCCCCGCATGAATACGTTGTGTCAAACCCATTTCTGGTGTCCTCTGCCATGATATGGCTGGAATATTGCCAAAAGTAGTGTAAAACCCAACCAGTGAGCATGTTGTAGAAATAGTTGCATATTTCAAATTATGATGTATATCTAACAATTATATGATCCAAGGTTTCTAGCACACATAAGAGATGCATCCTTATATATCCTGGAAACGTTGGATCATATTTTCAAATTTCAGTTTTCTCTGATTATGTATGTGTGAAACCCATTCTGGTGTCCCCCGCCGTGATGTTGCTGGAATATTGCTAAAAGCAGCGTAAAACCCACTCACTCACTCATCTTCGATGTAACCATATACATGTATATATATACATAAGATATAGTGAGTCTAAACTTTTGATGGGTAGTACACAGCAGGGGAAGTAGGGTAGCCTAGTGGTTAAAGCATTTGCTCATCACGCCGAAGACCCAGGTTTGATTCCCCACATGGGTACAATGTGTGAAGCCCATTTCTGGTGTCCCCCACGTGATGTTGCTGGAATATTGCTAAATGCGGCGTAAAACCCAACTCACTCACTCTGATTATGTGTCTGGGTTTGTCAACACAATACCCCAACTCTGGTTTCGCAAAAAGTGGTAAACATCGAACACCTGCATGACAATATTCGCTCCATCATAACTGCATTACATACAACTCACTTCGAACAGCAGGGGCGGTGGGGTAGCCTAATGGTTAAAGCGTTCGCCCATCACGCCGAAGACCCAGGTTCGATTCCCCACGTGGGTACAATGTGTGAAGCCCATTTCTGGTGTCCCCCGCCGTAATATTGCTGGAATATTGCTAGAAGCGTCGTAAAACCATATTCACTCACCCGAACACAGCAAACTAGGTGACGAGAATTTGAAACCAACAAAATACATCTTCAACCATGAAAGGATTGGTGTGACCTTGAATTATCAGCAAGTAAAAAACAACAAAGGTCAACTTCAACAAATGGTTATATTTATCAGTAAAGTTAAACAGTCAGGTGAGTTACAGCAAGAATTACTGTTTGCTGATTAGACGAAACCTGAGATCACAGTTACATGATAGGGACACTTGCCCGAGATCAGTCTATCACAAGCCAGCATCCTGGAGCATACTGTACAACTTCAGACCGGTACTAGCCTTGTGGTTAAAGTGTTCACTTGTCACGCTGAAGACCCGGGTTCGATTCCCCACATGGGTACAATGTGTGAAGCCCATTTCTGGTGTCCCCTGCCGTGATATTGCTGGAATACTGCTAAAAGCAGCGTAAAACTAAACTCTCTCACTATGCACCCTGTATAATCAGTAACTCAACCTGCTATGCATGAGCTAATCTTTGTATATGTTTAGGAACTTTACGCTTTACAGTATTACTGATGGGACCACCTTTACTAAAAAATATCAGGGTCGAGATTTTAGGGCTATAGCTCCCACAACATAAGGTCATTCACAGTATACTAAATATTGGACTTATTTACTTGTTTTAGAGTTCCCTTAACACAGACATACATACTTGACTAAGTACAAGGATGTGTCCACCTTACGATAACATTCAGGCTGGAGTTCCCTTTCCTTAGCTTCGGCAGCCTTTACTATATATATGGACAGTTTACTTTACTTGAAGCACCCACTGGGCTAGCCTGTGATAGACTGACTTAGGCCTGGACGGACTCTATAAGGCTAATGGTTAAAGCTATCATGGCTAGAAGGAAAATACGAAGACATTACAACAGTCAAACAACACACTATAACAAAACAGTAGGTTACACACACTCATACAACTCGGTTACAAACGTAACAATGTACAGGTAGACAGAGTTTGTGTCTTTACAATATTAAAGCAACCCCATTCTTTCTATACATATAATTAGGACATATTGATGAATCCATTTAGATTTGGAAAATAGTTTCTATAAAAATTAGCACTGATTACAGATCAGTGATCAGTCCCAGTGTAATTATTTGTGATGTGTGTTTAAAAAATGATGACTAAAAATGTCTAAAGTAGTTCAACCTTCAATCTGCAACACTACAATGACTTTGTTAAAACAGAGTATTTTGGATTCAAGTAAAGTTAAATAGCAGCAAGTCATTTAAGCCAAATAACATTTAGGCCAATCAACACCTTCCACAGTGTGCAGAGGCGGATCCAGAAAGGGGGAGTAAGCACACACACACCCCCCAAAAAAAAAAAAAAAAAAAAATTCCCTGAGGGGCATTTCCCCCTAACCTTTTGACTGCATGATTTATGTGTGCCTCCTTTCCCCAAAACCCTGGAGCCGCCCCTAGTGTGTCAGATTGCATGGTAACTTTCTTGAAACATTTTTTAAGCCTAATACCATATGACTTATTTAATCCTGCCACTGATACAGTGAAACAAAGTTTAACGAACCTGCGTAAATACTTCAAGTTATCCGTTGTTTGACACCTCCGCATTATGGTGACTAAAGGAGTATGAATGGACCAATCTCTTACTTCGATACAACTGAAAGTTCAACACAACAGCATTTGACTATACTTTAATATTTCATGAAGACAAACAGAGCTCAAACATCTCTCTGTGTTGTCTTGGAGCATGTCCCTCTCAAGATGAATCTGACCAGTTTTATCAGACACTCTCAAGCATTGGTTGATTCTGATTGGTCAGTATGTCCCTGGAATCAGTGCTGAATATTCTCGATGTGGCCGGCAATACGTATCACAGAACGCTTCTACCACACTCACAAACACAGGAACTAGCTGTGAAACCCAGCAATTCCCCAAGACACTTTGGTTACACAAGTGAGTTATACAATAATGGTGATGTATGGAAATTAAACACACATTACATAGAGCAATGAAAAACGAAGTACCAAGTTGAAGTAATGACTTTGTTAATGTAGATCCGTCTACTTCTGGAGCTCCAAGATCCTAATTTAATACATTCATATTCTTTTTCAGAAGAAGTCCTCCTTAGGGTACATATAAGCATTTACATGTCCATTTTAAATCCTACGACAGTTGTAACTATATTTTTCAATGAAATATTTACAAAACAAAAAAACTTGTTTTGTCTTGTGAGATCACCCCTACAGGGCCCCACCAGACCCCCTACAGCCAAGAGCAGGTAACTCTCGCCGTCTACCTCGTACCTCACTTTTCATGCTGTCGTTCTGTTGAATAGTTTTTGCCAATTAACCTGTTTCTGTTTAAGTACAGAAAGTGAGTATATGGGAGTGTGAATGATTGTCTATGTCTAATTTAAAAAAATATCTCTGTCCACAATAACCACAGATTAAATATCAATCTTACCAACAGTATCAATATGCATAACAACAGCTCCAGGAACTCACTTAATAACCTTGCTTGTAAATTCAAAAATTGTCAACCCTTTCTTGGGCCAGACACTACCGTGTGTCTGGTTTCATCTATCACAGGAACTCACTTAATAACCTTGCTTGTAAATTAAAAAATTGTCAACCCTTTCTTGGGCCAGACGCTACTACCGTGTGTCTGGTCTCATCTATCACAGGTACTCAGATATAAAATATCAGTTACGAAAATACAATACTGGCGATGAAAAACACAAAACACATCAAGTAAACAAGAAATCAATAAATTCTGTAAGGCTTACATGGCACAACATTTACACACACTGTTTAGGAGAAATTATCTGGGGGTAAAGTCATGTTAAAGTACTGAGGTGAAAATGAAGAAATTCAAAGAATTTGGGCTCTGGTCTAGTGCGTCTCCCAGAAGTAGAGAATATATGAAAAAGTGAATTAAATTTAAGTCTAGAATTATCTGACAAGTCTATATTCCCTCACCTCATGTTATGAAGCATTGTTCTGGGCTCCAGTTTGTAGAAACAAACACGTTTTGGTTAGTACTATACTCTTAATTGCCAGTGTTTAGAAACAACAAGAAAATAAATACATCTTTGTGTAAGATTGGGTTATTTTAAACAAATAATGCTTTAATGCTGGTTAAGGGCAGGTGAAACAGATACAGTGGCCCTGATGAGGAATATATCATGAAAGGATGCATGAAGGTCTGTACAGATGACAGGAGACACACTTTTATAAAACCAATGGAAGAAAATAATTTCACTATTTCAGGGCTGCTGGGAAAAAGCATGGCCCTAAATGAGAATATTATTTCATATTTGATGAAAAAGACATCTTAATTGCAAACAAAAATAGAACTATTACTGAACGCTACTTGTGTGTGTTGTGAATTCTTCAACCTTGTTGGAATTGTTTGTTGAAAGTTGTTCAATCCAGTCTGAATTGTTTGTTGAAAGTTGTTCAATCCAGTCCGAATTGTTTGTTGAAAGTTGTTCAATCCAGTCTGAATTGTTTGTTGAAAGTTGTTCAATCCAGTCTGAATTGTTTGTTGAAAGTTGTTCAATCCAGTCAGAATTGTTTGTTGAAAGTTGTTCAATCCAGTGAAGTTGTTCAATTGTTTGTTGAAAGTTGTTCAATCCAGTCAGAATTGTTTGTTGAAAGTTGTTCAATCCAGTCAGAATTGTTTGTTGAAAGTTGTTCAATTCACTTAGGATTGTGTGTTATGAATTGTTAAATCCAGTTAGGATTGCATGTTAATTAGGCACTTTGTTTCATGATTGTACTACAATGTGTAACAAAACACTGATAGTCTCATAATGGATAAAAAAACTCACTATGAAAAATAACATTTTCACATAAAATATTATATCAAATTCACAGAAATAACAGCTTCAGAAAAACCAACTGGCCCAAGAAATCAATTTGTCGCAATACATATGACAAATGAGAAAAAAAAAGTCAAATTTCAAATAAAACATTTCCTTGAAAATCAAACAATACAAAAACTGACATCAACGATATTGGCCAAATATCACATGACCATTAACAATGTATACCGACTCACCCAAAGAGTCAACCTATATCACTGTAATTTTGTAATTTCTAAACTATTCTTCACATTTTGAGATCAACAAATTACAAACTACCACGGCAAATGCAAGTATTTGCCTCAGGTTATAGAGATTCTGCTGTTTCTGCACATCGACAGTATAAGTTTTGAACCAAACATTTTTAAATCATCAGTAGAGGTTAAAAATTATAACATTCCTGCCCCTGAGAACGGTTTCCTTCAGCGTTAGACAAACAAATTACTAGTTATTCGTACATTCGTTAATGCGATATAAATGTCAATGGGAATATCCATGAAATTACTCTCAGCCATTTTGCATCATGTTGATTGGCTTGTTCATTCCAACTGTATAACTGTTTATAATTTTGAAGAGTAGCCTTTAGCAGCCAGACGTCATCCATGACTAGCTGTCCATACTCGAAGGGGAAGGTCATTGTTCATGGTGGCTCAAAACGAATAGTTTAAAAAATGTCTCTGTAAGAACTGTGAAACCCATATTTGTTTACAATATTTCCACAAAAACTATGGTAATATATATATATGATACTGAATAACTTACAAGCTATGATGAATTACATGTAATCTGTCCTTGTGAAATAATGTTGAAAAGTCATCACCTGACAACCTGTTGGTAAACAAAACAATTATGTTATATGCCCAGGGGCCAGCAGAAAATGAATCTTGGAATTAGATTGATATATTGGCCAAATGGAAATGATTCACACTTGTCTGGTGAACATTTGGGAAATATTTTAATCCCTCAAGTTTCAGTGAGATCATTGTTTCTGTGTTCATGATGCTAATGACAATGTCTGTGAGGGTGATTAAAGATGGCCGTCTATAATGGCTTGTTGACTCCGAGCTTGACCATAGCCGCCTCACATGGCTTCATGATGTCCTGAAATACACAAACATGGAGTTGACATGTGCAAGAACTGCAGAATGGGATCTTCTAAAAAACAAAAACAAGGCCAAACCAATTTGTTTTCTTGATTTACAAAACCACCCACCCTAAGTTCAGCTGAAGGGTTGTTGTCGGCACAGGTACTACAGATACGTACCCCAGGTACGTTTCTGTATACAGATATGTACCCTAAACAAAGTCAAAATACAGAAAAGTACCCGGTACCCTAAAAGGCGGATGAGTCCATATTCCGCAATCCAAAACCGAAACCGTATGTAGTTGTTCCCGTTCAACTGATTCCGAGTGGTATTCATGTGCATCGCGAAATATCCGTTACTGTGTATTTTCATTACTTACATAACGCAATCAAATGTATCTAATACAACAGTATGACAGTTCCTGTCAAGAATACGACACAATGGGAATGGAATCGTCCTAGGGTACGTTTCTGTATTCGCATTATGGCCAAAGTACACGTTTCTGTATACAGAAACATACCTGGGGTACATATCTGTAGTACCCGTGCCGACAACGACCCCTTCAGCCTAAGTTCAGAATAACAGAAATAATGTATTCAATTTTAAGCTACTGGAACAACTTCTGAACTACAAGACGACAGACTCCAAACTATAAGTCATATTTGTGGGTGCCCCATATTAACACTGAAATTCACATTACAGTCCATATTTTGTTGTGTCAATTACAGATAATATTTACAGAAACTGCAGCAATGTGTACATATGTATCAGATTGCCTCAAAGCTTTTATTAAATAAATCATAGTTTCTTTCATGTTTGGAACTATCTCTTATACCAAAATTGACATGTGCTAGGCTTTGAAAAGATTCCCCTTATTCTAACAAGAATTCTAATTGATCTGACCTCTTAGAAATATATTGATCTCAATGAAAGAGGTAGATTTGAATCATTAACACAATGCCATTTTAATGTGTAATGTGTACATGTGCTATTTCTTACAGTTAAGTTTGAGAGAATGTATCACACAAGAAGCCAAATATACAGGATCTTAATTTGACAGTTATTTAAAAACCTAAAGAAGTGTGCCTACATGTAATTTTGGGTCTCTTATTCAATTAAATATATATGAATTTTCATAATTATCAGACTGTTTGATGGCAACAACACAACGTGCACCACAAATGTAGAAGAATTACATATGATAGAAATATAATACATCAGAACTTTAGAGATTTAATATGAAGATCATTCTTAACAATTTAACATCAGATACTTTTCTAAAAAATCGCCATCAGTTTTTACCCCTTGTGTAAGAAATAATTGTAAAGAATGATAACTGTTTAATGTTGCAAGTGCAGATCTTACCCTGTTGTCCCGGAAACGTTTGTGAACAGGGAGCAGTATGTGTGATCCCACCGCTAGGTGGCGCATTTCAGCGTTCATGTCATCTACAGTGTGACAAACAGAGGCAAGGATAGAAACACACCACACACACGACACACTCAGTGCAGCAAGCCAGACCTCTTGTCTTCCAACATTAGGGAACTGAGGACCTCACAGAAGATTCCTAGAAATATTGATAGATTTGTTTTCCTCCCTTGTAAATACTGAATATCACGTCTCAAAGTATTTCCAAATATGAAAGATAAGAGGTGTGGCTTGAATAAATCAGTTGTTGATGTCACATAACAATAGTTCCTGAAACCGCTGCTGCCGTTGCTGCTGCCGTGGATCAATGCTGGTCAACTTTATTCATTGACAACTATATAGACTTCATTTACTATTGACATAGCATTGAGAATTTTTTTACAAAAACAAAATGTTCAGAAAAGCTCTCAGATGAGAGTGATCAATCTACTAATTGCTTTCAGAAACTTTTGAATGATTTGTCCCTGGTGTAATCATGCCTACCATACCGTAATGTTATGTGAGCACATCCAAATACATGCAGTACCTGTGACGTGTGAGGAAATGTTAGTGCAGAGCCGTGCAAGCATGAATACACACAGCATTATATACTGCTAGGTCACTGTGACCCAGTCAATGTCACAGTGACCCGTACAGTATACATTGTAACAGTGCCCAAGATGATATCATAGACAATTCAATAGTGGCCCAGATGATACCAGTTATCCAGACAATATCAGTGTGACCCATGTGATATTATAGACATTGTAATAGTTATCCACATGATATCATATACAACGTCAATGATCAAAAATATGTCACAGTTACCAAGGCAATCACAGTCACCCATAGTTACCCAGACAATATCACTGACCAAGATGATATCATAGATGATACCAAGCAGCCCAAATGATATTTACCCATACAAGATCACAGTGACCCAGATGATATCATAGTTACCAAGGTTATATCACAGTGACCATGATATCATTACCTACATGATATCACTGTGGCTTTGATGATATCTTAGCTAGCCAGATATCACAATGACATTAGTATCTCATGCCCAAATTTACATCCCAGAGAACAGATGATATCAAAGTGCCAGTGTAAAAAGTGAACTCCCTGAGGCTGGTAATGTAGTGATGTCATGTCAACACAAGAGTAATCTCCCCTTAATGTTTGTAACGCGTTCAAGAGCATTCTGGTATCAGCTTGAAGTAAAATTGGGTGAAAACCAGGCTCTCATAAACATCACTGAATCTATGTCAATAAAAATGTTAGGTATCATTATGTTTCCAGTGACTAAAAAACTGTCTCAAAAGACAATATAATAATGAATTAATAATGAGGAGGTGGATAAAGTATTCATTTGTCATACCACAGGCCCCTGTTGGGAATCATACCTGGTCTTCAGTTTGACGAGCGAATGCTTTAACCACTAGGCTACCCCACCTACTTAATTATAGAGACATTTTCAATACCAACATTCTTGTTACAATACAAAGTTGATGACATCACTTCCTGACCCCAACCCGACCCCACTACATCACAAGCCTCGTCAAACAGTGCCGTCACAACACACCAGGCCACACGAATCAACTTCAACCTGTTTGTCTCACCTCATTCTTATTAAACTTCAACTGAATCTCTTTTATGAGAGCAGGTACTTTGAAGCTCAATAAATCCTTACAAATATCATCTACAAGAAAACATCATCAAACATATAAACTTGATTCAGAGAAATATCACAGTTGTAAGTACACCTTTAACTCCAAGGGAACATTTTCTATGTTGTAACATGTAAGTAACAGTAAAAACAACATGCATGTTCAAAGAATTTAACATGCATTTGAACAATAGGAATCAAAAGACGTGGTTGATTGAAGTTTGGCGAACATGAGGACATGAAACTCATATAAAGCTCTGAATCTCATGACCCACGAACATCAAATGATAATGAACTTGATGTCATTATGAAAGTTGCCTGTTTTCAGTTCTCAAATAGTCTTGTTTGCATTAAATCTGACACATTTCAGATTTGCACCTGGAATGTTTGCCTTGCAAAGGTACTGACCAATTTATGTTCAAAGGGGTGTTACAATTCACTGACCTATTCCCAACTTCTTATGGGATGGGGCCAAATTATATCAAAACAAAACATTTATTTGAAAGAATACTGGGAAAATGTGGATACTATAATACCTGGCTACTCATTTCAGAGAAAAACGTAAATACGCTTGTAACATAAAATATAGCCAATCATGAACAAAAGGCTGGGTCTTCCAACTGAATACTGATGGTTCATCCTTGGTATGCAGCTTTAGTATGTGACACGTCTTACACAATGTCCAAAATTTACACAATGTATACTTTGAATACAGTACCTGGTAGGGGAGATGGTCTTCTTACAAAAGAAAAAGAAATAATTATCTTTTTCTCTCATGAAGTTCAAGATATATATTTTGTGAATAGTTTACTTAAAAGGCATTGATATTTACCATATTCCACAAGTTCCATGAAGAGAGTGACGATAGATTCCACGACATCGGCATTATCCTTGTGCAGCTCGTACGCCCTCATGATGATGGGGATGCCGTCTTTACTCTCTGCTGCGTCGCTGCCCCCCTCGCTTGTCAGCACCCGGTATGCACACTCCTCTGTTACGTCACACAAGGGATATGTGTTACCATGGCAGCGTGGTCTTAACAATGGTGTGTTTAAAAAAAGTCTCATCACAGGGATGAGTGAGTGAGGTGATAAGACAACATCAATCTCTGATGCTCTATATGCTCTGCTGGTCTTGCCACACATTTAAAGTAAACAGATAATCAACTTAGACACAGTGTGATCAGGCACTCCAAGTTGACCTGGGCCCCATTCCTCAAAGCGATCGTAGTGCTACGACAGTCGTAAGTCTATGTTAAAGTATGGGAGTAACGACTGTCGTAGCGCTACGATCGCTTTGAGGAACGGGGTCCAGTTCTTATCTTATCCCACTAATACTAAGCACCAGGGGGCGGTGGGGTAGCCAAGTGGTTAAAGCGTTTGCTCGTCATGCCGAAGGCCCGGGTTCGATTCCCCACATGGATACAATGTGTGAAGCCCATTTCTGGTGTCCCCCACCGTGATATTGCCGGAATATTGCTAAAAGTGGCGTGAAACCAAACTCACTCACTCACTAAGCACCAGGCAGGGTACCAACAAGTACCATTTCTTAAGATCAAACAACTGAACTTAAACTCTGGGTGGGCAGATGTTCTAACCACTAGACCACAGAGGGTATGTGCCTGATCAGATCGGACATATTAAAGCTAATTAAAGGCGTGTGTGTGTCATTATAGAATGTGTCTCATAAAAGGAGTATTTTTATTGAGGCGATTTGACTCATCATGGGGATATGTCTCAGTAAGCATCTCATTAAAATTTGTGTCTAACCTGTGGATTTCTGTCTCACTGTCACTTACACTAAATGGTGCAAGGATGTCTGTCTCACTAAAGGGTGTGTCTCATTAAAGGGATATGTCTCATTCAGGGCATCTCACTTTAATGTGTGTGTCTCACTTAAGGAGGTCTGTCTCACTAAGGGTGTGTCTCATTAAAGGGATATATGTCAAATTAAGGGCATCTCACATTAAAGGGATGTGTGTCATTCACATCTAAGGAGGTCTGTCTCACTAAGGAAGGGTGTGTCTCATTAAAGGGATATGTCTCATTCAGGGCATCTCACTTTAATGTGTGTGTCTCACTTAAGGAGGTCTGTCTCACTAAGGGTCTCATTAAAGGGATATGTCTCATTCAGGGCATCTCACTTTAATGTGTGTGTCTCACTTAAGGAGGTCTGTCTCACTCACTAAGGGGTGTGTCTCATTAAAGGGATATGTCTCATTAAGGGCATCTCACTTTAATGTGTGTGTCTCACTTAAGGAGGTCTGTCTCACTAAAGGGGTGTGTGTCTCATTAAAGGGTGTGTCTCATTCAGGGCATCTCACTTTAATGTGTGTGTCTCACTTAAGGAGGTCTGTCTCACTAAAGGGGGTGTGTCTCATTCACATTAATGTGTGTGGATATGTCTCATTAAAAGGGCATCTCACTTTAATGTGTGTGTCTCACTTAAGGAGGTCTGTCTCACTAAAGGGTGTGTCTCATTAAAGGGATATGTCTCATTAAGGGCATCTCACTTTAATGTGTGTGTCTCACTTAAGGAGGTCTGTCTCACTAAAGGGGTTTTCTCATAAAAAAATCAGGGATATGTCTCATGGGAGAGGGTGTGTTAAATGCAAGCTAGCCTGTCCAGAATGAGACATGTATACAGACCATCGGGTTCAACCAGTCCCGAGAGAGCCATGCAGGCATTCTTCACGACTTTAGCGCTCTTGTCGTGTGTTTCTACAGCACTCAGCAGTATGCCCACAGTGTCAAGGTCGTTCACAACGGCAAAACTCTTTTCTGGAACATACACAGAAACTTGTGAAGCACAGGTGAAAAAAACAGGACAAAGTGAAAAATGGAAAAAATACATCTTAAAATTATTGACAAGCACAGGTTTGTTTCGAACAACAAACAATATCATTCACCAAGAAAGGGTACATACATAACATGTGAAATTATAGATGAGACCAGTTTAAAAAATATGTGACATAATATAAATCCTTTGTACTGCAACTATCCTATGATATTTCAGAACAAAATTAAAAAATTAATTATTAAGCCTCAATACAAATGTGTGACTTTTTCATATGTCAGTCAATCAAAATAGAGCCTAAGTACATTGGGCTGTTTCACTTTATCCATCTTTGAACAGTGGTAATTTGCAACATACATGTATAAGTTTAGTCATAGAAGATTAAGCTATGATGGATAAACCAAAAATGATTTCTTTGACCTTTGCCAACTTACCATCCAGACAGAGAGAGAAGAGGGCAGCACATGCAGCTTCCGCCAATTCCTGCGACGTGGGGTGTGTCTTCATCGCGGAGCATATCGTCTCAATAGCTTGACTGTCAAACGCTGTCTGCAAGTTATTTTCTAAAAAGAAAAATACAACTAGTTACAAGACTGTAGTTCAGCTCATGGAAATATTTAAAACATTTGACTAAATAGATAAGTATATACATATCTAAATGGTTAAGAGGTTTATGATCCACAGGGGAATGGTTTAAGGTATTTATTGTCAGCCCAAGTGACATTTTCAAAATGTGTGTCAGGGCAATGATGTTAAAAGTAACAGCATTCTAATCTAATGGTTTAAGAGTCATCATTTGGGGAATTGTACATAAAACTTCAGTTTAAAAGAGGGAGAAGTCAAATCTCAATCAAATTCAGATGTGAACATCAAAGGCCACAGAATGATAACTTAATAAATGACAACATGCTGCTCAACATCATATTATATGAACAAATATCTAAAAAGATAGTCGTGTTCCGTAACTGTTAGGTATGTGTTCTGAGGATGGCGCTTGTTCTCACCCATTGACTGTGAGATGGCGCTTCCAGATGGCGCTCATGCAACAGGTTGCACACAGCTCAGCAAGGTGTACTGATACGCTACTCTCTATGTGAGTCTTCATGGCACACAGTATCTGGTCTATGACTCCAAGTGTTCTGCAAGCAAGGCAGGACAGGCTGTGGCCTAAACTGCCGATAAGCTCACCATGACTCCACCGATCTGAAGAAACAGGGCAAGTACACGTTATACACATAACATTCAAGGTGTACTCACTAATACAACTTTACTCAGTTCATGGAACTTCCATTGTAGCAGCTAATCTGTCAGAACTGAAAACTGTTCTATCATGACGGCAAGTGTTTCATTATTACAGAAACTGTTCTTTATGGCTCCAAATGTTGTCAAGAAGGCAACGGCTCTCACAGGACTTAAACTGTTCTATCAGATAGTAAGTGTTCTATCATTACACAAACTGTTCCTTATGACTCCAAGTGTTCTGTCATGACTACAAGTGTTCACTAGATACACTAAATGTTGCATAAAACTCCAGTAAACGCTAACAACATCATTAGACTTATGCTTAATCTCTGAACATATAATTTTGATTGTAACAAATAAACCTATTTAAATTGAAAAGGAGCCCAAGGCAGACCAGAGATTCAGAACCTGGGGATATCTAGACTTGCTTCATTTAGGGCTTTTGCATTGCAGAGAGGGTTTGGCAGTAGGGGAAATACTGTGGTTCAGGGACTGTGAGACAGACTACATTGTAGGGAGGGCTTGGCAGTAGGGACAATAATGTGGTTCAGGGACTGTGAGACAGACTACATTGTAGGGAGGGCTTGGCAGTAGGGACAATAATGTGGTTCAGGGACTGTGAGACAGACTACATTGCAGGGAGGGCTAGGCAGTAGGAAAAATAATGTGGTTCAGGGACTGTGAGACAGACTACATTGCAGGGAGGGCTAGGCAGTAGGGAAAATAATGTGGTTCAGGGACTGTGAGACAGACTACATTGCAGGGAGGGCTAGGCAGTAGGGAAAATAATGTGGTTCAGGGACTGTGAGACAGACTACATTGCAGGGAGGGCTAGGCAGTAGGGAAAATAATGTGGTTCAGGGACTGTGAGACAGACTACATTGTAGGGAGGGCTTGGCAGTAGGGAAAATAATGTGGTTCAGGGACTGTGCGACAGACTGACAACATCATGAGTATACACAACCAATACTTACTGTCTGCCGACAATGCCATGAGTATAGCAGCTGCTGTTTGCTGCAACTCTGAACAGCTTGAGTGAGTCTACAACACAACACACAAACATTAGCAGTGTATGAAATAAGGCCCATCCAACCGCGCGAGACGGGTTAGATTTCTGACGACGGTCTACATTTACGGCTTGTCAGGCCGATGGTCTGGTAAAATGTTTCGATATCATGTTCCATACATCTGAGTTAATTCACCATATCTTTAATTTTTCATTGTAACTAAGAATTGAGTTATTCTCTTTGGATTGTCTGGTCTGGTTATATCCATTTTGGGCTGGTAACATTTTGAAGTTACCCGCCCTGATGTCTGGCTGGGTTTTTGGCTTATTTCATACACTGACATTAGCCTGTAAATAATCAAGTTTAGACAATCAAGTGATTGATATTCTAAGCAACAATCTGCATTGTCCAAAAAAGGTGATAAAATCAGCCAAGTTATTGAGCCTCTATTGACCTGTATTAGTTGTTGGACCTAACTAACCCAGAATGTCCACAGGGAGATGACTGAAGAACCATTCTTCCTCTACAGCCACTGTGACCAGGTCAACCTCGAAATCAGTTCCCTCTGATGGGCTCTCGTACCCGATTAAGGATTGTTTGTTTGTGGTCTAATGACACAATATTCCAGGAACATGACAGCAGACACAACTGAAATACGTGGCATGGTGGGTGAAGTGATCCTGCGAGCTTGACGTGATGGGATCGAGCCCACCTGTGACCAGGTGTAAAAACCTTGGAGTCAACTTTGTGTGCAGACTCTTTCAGTGTTGTCACAACCCCTAGTGTATAGTACACAACCCTGTGCACTTAAAAGAACCCAGATATATGATCAGATGGTGGCCACATGAATACGTGCAAACACCTAGTTGCGGGTACAGCAACGTGCAGTAAACTTGGACAAAGTACTGTGACTATGTGTCCCAGTCCACCCAGCTGTGAATGGGTACCTCGTAAGGATGGGAAAGCCACAATAACTCGGTGCACCTAGTGGCTGCAAGAGTTGTATCCTCCCTAGGGAGTTGAGAGTGATAATACGATGTGCCTTTGAGATTGACATCCAGTGATCGAGGGAAAAAACAACGCGACTTTGAGCAGCTGAGCTGGATATCGGTGCTATACAAATGTTAGTATGTATGTATGTAAATACGAGCCCTGGAGACGAACCAGACAAACCAGTGATTGATATTATAAGCAACAGTTATGTCGTTGGAGCGATGGCATACAATCAATCCAAATCTCAGGGTAAGGTCATGTGATCCCTTCAGTTGCTTCTTATGACAAGCATTATGGTGACTGAGGTACAGTTGTTCCCCAGAACATCTCAGAACATTGAACCGACAGAGATTGTCCTGATTACCTTCATGGAGAGGATGATGACGGAGATTATTTCGGGCGTAAACAGAACATCCCCCGTCTGAGCTGCAACAGGGAAGCCATGAATCATGAACATTCAATAACATTTGACAATATTATCAACATCGAACAACATTCACTAGGTTCATCTAGGTTCAACAACATTCATCTACCTTCAACAACATTCACTAGGTTCAACAACATTCATCTACCTTCAACAACATTCACTAGGTTCATCTAGGTTCAACAACATTCATCTACCTTCAACAAAATTCAACAATATTAATCAACATTCATCAACATTGGACATCTGACAACATTCATCAACACTGGACAACATCTGACAACATTTACCAACATTGGACAACATCTGACAACATTCATCAACATTGGACAACATCTGACAACATTCATCAACATTGGACAACATTGATAACATTCTTCAACATTGGACAACATCTGACAACGTTCATCAACATTGGACAACATTCATCAACATTGGACAACATCTGACAACATTCATCAACATTGGACAACATCTGACAACATTCATCAGCATTGGACAACATTGATTAACATTCATCAACATTCACTAACATTCATCTAGGTTCAACAACATTCATCTACCTTCAACAACATTCAACAATATTAATCAACATTCATCAACATTGGACAACATCTGACAACATTCATCAACAGTGGACAACATTCATCAACATTGGACAACATCTGACAACATTCATCAACATTGGACAACATTGGGCAACATCTGACAACATTCATCAACATTGATTAACATTCATCAACATTGGACAACATCTGACAACATTCATCAACAGTGGACAACATTCATCAACATTGGACAACATCTGACAACATTCATCAACATTGGACAACATTCATCAACATTGGACAACATTGATTAACATTCAACAACATTCACTAACATTCATCTAGGTTCAACATTACATATTTTTTGAGCATGATATACACCATCTGGGATTACGTTTTGCCATCCATTCACTTCAGGTGAAGTCTTTGTTGAGAGAACCAACACCATTTTATTTATTTGGTCCAAATCTTTTCCAAAAAGGCAGTTAGAATTTGTTCATAACCTTTGTGGTACAAGAAAAAATATGATTTATTTCAAAATATGCAAAAATTACTTTGGAATATATAAGTTAGTGCATTTATATTTGTTGGATAATGGATCCTACAAAAAGGTTAACAACACAAAACAGTGAATACTTATTTTGTTAACCCAACACTTTTGGCACAAATATATTTTGATAATTGTTTTGAAGCCAATCACGACTTACTCATTGTTGAGATAAGGCTACTACTTTAGCTCCCACCATTTACAGAAATATGTCTATATTTTGCACAATTAACACTAAAGTGACCCAACTGAGAACTAAAGAAACCCATGAGCAGGCAAATGTCAGCAATATTCTAACACTATCACTAGAGTCAGTAAATCAGGATGCCGTTGAGCAAAGTGATCTTAGTGGTAATGTGGCCGTAGCTCCCATACCTTAACATAGACTTGAGGTAGTCTTAGTGCTAAGGTGGCCGTAACTCCCATACCTTAACATAGACTTAAGGTAGTCTTAGTGCTAAGGTTGTACAACAGCACCCTGGTCTGGCCCTGTTTCACAAAGCGATCTTAGTGGTAATGTGCCGTAACTCCCATACTTTAACACAGACTTACAGCAGTCATAGCGCTACGATCGCTTTGTGAAACGGGCCCCAGAAGGTTTGTGGGTTATATGAGCAGGAGCCTTATACAACGGCATGCAACCAACCAGGTCGCCAGGTCACCAGGTCTGACCAACTGATCCACTGTAGTTGAGTGACAGATTCCTGGCTCCAATTCCTAATCTTTAACTGAACAGTTTTGTGTCTTGTTTCAGGAATAACAGATTTCTATGTGGAATTTTTGTTTGCTGAACTGTTCAACGATTACATAGTTGTAAACAAAATGGATGTATTAGTTCTATTGAAAATTGTTTAAAAAACTAGCTGCTAAAAGGCTAATGCACATTCTATAAAAAGGAAAATTTGTAATGTTAAGACTAAATCTGTTTAGAAGATGATGTATTGAAAACAACTAAACTAGTTTTTTTTCTCAAATACAGTTAATTGTTATCAAGTTAATAACCTTTTACCAATCACACCAATCCAATCACAACCATTGCCCTTTGAACAGTGAAACCCTTCAATTCTGGACAATATCCTTCCAAGTAAAAACAAAATGCTGGATTAAGATTCATTGGTACATCATAGTTTCCTTTGACAGACATATTATTACAGAGTAACGTCCCTTTGGACAATTCCATTTTAGAGTAATGCCCCTTTGTACATAACAGTCCTGCATCATTGCTGCAAGCATACACCAGTTCAGAGTAATGTCCCTTTGTACATGAGATATAAGTTGGGTTTCAGTGTCTAGACCAGCAGGGTTTCACTTAAGGTAAACATAACTTATTTTAATGAACAAAAACATTATGTTGTTTGTACAGGTCTACAAATATAACTTTACCACACAAGAAATATTTTTGATGAGAAAATCTTTAACGCTTTAGGTGACAGTCCCATATCTTACTAGTTAAGAAATAAGCACCAGCTAAAACAAGCAAAAAAATATAAAGCAAAGAAAATTGTCCTAACTTTAGAGGTGGAGCTGGCCAGTCGGGTTGTCATGAACCAGAAGGTGATCAATAACTAAATGATTTTCAATGACCCATTGAATTCTGTTTACATATTCATGAGAGGAACTGAACATACTGACTGGCGGGAATCTGGTTTAGTTGAGAAAGAGATACGATGAACCAAGGTAAGATGAACCATGGAGAACCGTATGCCTATATGAACTAAATGTTATCAGTTTAAGTCACACCGAATCTAGCTATGACTGCTTGGGCAGAAAGATTAGTCTTCCCTCCAAAATACCCCATGGGTATGGGAAACTGCCAAAGCCCATCTTGGTATGTAAGACGTAATACCTACTGTCTAATTACAACAAAACACTGTGTGGGCCTGGAGGAGACAAGGTGAGTGAAAATTTAAACGTAAATCTGAAAACTTATTACTGCTTTAGAAAAATTGGTTAAAGTGAGCTCGTTATTTTCTTTTTCAGCTCTATCAAAACCCTTTTTAATTTTGACATTCTTGAGAAAAAATGAATCTGAATCAAACATTTATTAAATTATCCTAAAAATATATATTAAGATTTAGAGTAAGCAGCATATTTTTCTCTTCAAATGTGAAAAATATTTTTCGTATCCATCAAACTAAACATCCTTTAATTTCAGCATAACTGAGGGAAAAGACTTTGATAAATCTTTAAGAAACATTTATGAAATAACAAAACCAAGGTTACGTCCTCCACCTCTAAATACTAGATACTCAATCTAACACAATGTAGCTAGTGGCAGTATGTTATATATGATCAGGTGATGTTAGTGATGTACACGCTGGTGATGCTCATACCAAGCTCCGCCTTCCGAACACGGGCGTTTATTTCCAACACTGGCAAGGCAAAGTGTGCATAATCATTCTACATGATCAGGAAAGTAGTACCAATGAAGAAATGCAGATTACATCACACATTTTCAAAGAAAACATTAGTTTTGCGAATGCTCAACTTAAACATATCCTTCCACAGCATTTGTACTCACTGTTGATAAAGACTTTGTGAGTGTGTAAGTTGGTTTTCAATGTCAATTTGAACAGTATCTGAGATGCATCAAGGCAGGGGTTCAAATATATTTTTCAAAAAGCCACTTTATGAAAGTAACTTGTCCTCACTAATTTTCCACTTGCCCTGATTTTTATGAAAAAAATATAACTCTATTATCATTAAGACTGCCACATGATAATCCCCTATGCCACCTTAAGACTACAACATGATAATCCCCTATGCCACCTTAAGACTACAACATGATAATCCCCTATGCCACCTTAAGACTGCCACATGATAATCCCCTATGCCTCCTTAAGATTGCAACATGATAATCCCCTATGCCACCTGAAGACTGCCACATGATAATCCCCTATGCCTCCTTAAGACTACAACATGATAATCCCCTATGCCACCTTAAGACTACATGATAATCCCCTATGCCACCTTAAGACTACAACATGATAATCCCCTATGCCTCCTTAAGACTACAACATGATAATCCCCTATGCCACCTTAAGAATTACACATGATAATCTCCTATGCCACCTTCAGACTACATGATAATCCCCTATGCCACCTTAAGACTGCCAAATGATAATCCCCTATGCCACCTTAAGACTACAACATGATAATCCCCTATGCCACCTTAAGAATTACACATGATAATCCCCTTTGCCCCTCAAAAACTTCATCATGACAATCCCACTTACACCCTAAGACTGCCAGATAATAATCCCCTATGCCCCCTTAATACTGCCACAAGATCATCCCCTATGCTCCCTTAAGACTGCCACAAGATAATCACATGTACCCCGTAATAAATGCAACATGATAATCCCCTATGCCCCTTAAGACTGCCACATGATAATCCCCTATGCCCCTTAAGACTGCCACATGATAATCCCCTATGCCCCTTAAGACTGCCACATGATAATCCCCTATGCTCCCTTTAAACTGCAACATGATAATCCCCTATGCCACCTTAAGACTGCCACATGATAATCCCCTATGCCACCTTAAGACTACAACATGATAATCCCCTATGTCACCTTAAGAATTACACATGATAATCCCCTTTGCCCCTCAAAAACTTCATCATGACAATCCCACACCCTAAGACTGCCAGATAATAATCCCCTATGCCCCCTTAAGACTGCCACAAGATCATCCCCTATGCTCCCTTAAGACTGCCACAAGATGATCACATGTACCCACTTAAAAATGCAACATGATAATCCCCTATGCCCCTTAAGACTGCCACATGATAATCCCCTATGCCCCTTAAGTCTGCAACATGGTAACACCTATGCCCCTTTAGTCTGCAACATGGTAATCCCCTATGCCCCTTAAGTCTGCAACATGGTTATCCCCTATGCCCCTTAAGTCTGCAACATGATAATCCCCTATGCCCCTTAAGTCTGCAACATGATAATCCCCTATGCCCCTTAAGTCTGCAACATGGTAATCCCCTATGCCACCTTAAGACTGCCACATGATAATCCCCTATGCCCCTTAAGACTGCAACATGGTAATCCCCTATGCCTCCTTAAGACTGCAACATGGTAATCACATATGCCCCTTAAGACTGCAACATGATAATCCCCTATGCCCCTTAAGACTGCAACATGGTAATCCCCTATGCCTCCTTAAGACTGCAACATGGTAATCGCATATGCCCCTTAAGACTGCAACATGGTAATCCCCTATGCCTCCTTAAGACTGCAACATGGTAATCGCATATGCCCCTTAAGACTGCAACATGGTAATCCCCTGTGCCTCCTTAAGACTGCAACATGGTAATCGCATATGCCCCTTAAGACTGCAACACGGTAATCCCCTATGCCACCTTAAGACTGCCACATGATAATCCCCTATGCCCCTTAAGACTGCAACATGGTTATCCCCTATGCCTCCTTAAGACTGCAACATGGTAATCACATATGCCCCTTAAGACTGCAACATGATAATCCCCTATGCCCCTTAAGACTGCAACATGGTAATCCCCTATGCCTCCTTAAGACTGCAACATGGTAATCGATATGCCCCTTAAGACTGCAACATGATAATCCCCTATGCCCCTTAAGACTGCAACATGGTAATCGCATATGCCCCTTAAGACTGCAACATGGTAATCCCCTATGCCCCTTAAGACTGCAACATGATAATCCCCTATGCCCCTTAAGACTGCAACATGGTAATCGCATATGCCCTTTAAGATTGCCACATGATAATCCCCTATGCCCCTTAAGACTGCAACATGGTAATCCCCTATGCCTCATAGACTGCAACATGGTAATCGCATATGCCCCTTAAGACTGCCACATGATAATCCCCTATGCCCCCTAAGACTGCAACATGGTAATCACATATGCCCCTTAAGACTGCAACATGATAATCATTCTGGAACATCTAAAACAAACCCCAGGTGAACCTACCTGAAACGATGACATTATTGAACACATTGCAGCCTGCTATTTGTATAGTTTTGTTGTTGATGTTATTCTTCATTGCCGCGGCAACCAGACGTTTGCTGTTGTCCTCCAGGAGGACGCCATCTTGTTTGGTGAGCTCCACAAGGTGCTCCATGCCATCCTTGACACAGTCCTCATTATCAATCATCTTGGCGATGTGTTCCAGGACAACCAGGATCCCAGGGGACTCTGACGTCAGAGGGTCTGCTGGAACAACAAGTCTTCAATAAATCTCTTCTGACTTGGATTCAAGGCGTCAGATTCTGGTGCACTTTGGCTTCAGGCACGAGGCACTAGGAACCTATCTTCCCACAATCCTTTTTTGTTACAAGCATAAAGTAATGAGGATCTTTTAGGCTCTTAAAGGCACAATGTCAAACATTTTCGACACTATTTTGACCTACATTTTATAAATTGGGGGCATATGCACTCACTTTAGCAATAAAAGACTTATTATCAATTATGACTTGCCTGAAATTTGATAATTGAAACTTCGAGGCGAACAGCTTCCAAACAGACAACACTCCATATATGAAATGTAAACAGTTGCTTCATACATCAGTGCTTGCTGAACTGGCCTCAATCGCAAGTTGCGTTTTGGGATATTTTGTAAAGTGTGTTTCAAGGGACATAACTCTACGGGTTTTCGCTTGAAATAATGTTCAGCCGGTAGAGGGCGCGAGAGTCAGTTTAATGCAACGTTGCAATAATTCACTCGAACTTTTTAATTTAATATTGTAATCTAAATACGTAATGTTTTTCGGAATAAATTATATGGTAGCTTCCCTGGGGGCATTCTCTTCCCACAGAGGTTACTCCTGTCATATCTTCCTACGTAACCTCTGTTCTAATACGGCCCTTTCATGGTGTGAGCGTTCAAGACTCGTGATTGGAGACAATCAGATTTAGTTGTGCAATCAGCGACGTTGTTTCAAAAGTGATCATTCGCAAGGCCTCGGTAATTTCCGTATACTTCGAGAAAACTAAACCTCTTCCCCTGCGCGATGCGCAAACGTTTCCTCTAGACAGAACTCAGTCATGTTATGGCGGATCAGTGGCGTCTCCATCGCCCTCGTTGACAACGGACAAGCTAGCCATTAAACGTCTTGTGTGTAACATCAACACAAGTCCCCGGCAGATGGGGGATATTTGTGGCTTCACATTTGCTTGTGTTAGTCAAGTTGAATCTAAGTCGATGTAACACGTGTTCTGATTGGATAGAAAGAAGGGAGATAATTCGTTTTGCGATCTTTTGCCGCTAGGGGATATTAAGAGAACCGGGAAATATGGCCGTATTAGAACAGAGGTTACGTAGGAAGATATGACAGGAGTAACCTCTGTGGGAAGAGAATGCCCTGGGGGCTGATATTTAGTGTTATTGAGAGAAATGCTTTATGTATATTTAGAGACATGTGGTGTGACATTGTACCTCTAAACGCTGACTCGGCACAAATGTTGGACACTGTGAACCTAGACGAACCAGTTATCGTCAATGGGTACAACCTAACACACTCAGAACCTATCTGCTTCCAGTGTTGGATACAGCAAGAAAGCTCTGCCTGACCTTTTTCGCCTTTGAATTATAATTGGCCAATGAGATACTGAGACCTTATACTGGGCTGGAATCGACAATGTGCTCATAGCAGTGTTACAGTCAACCTAGTCTTTATTTGTACCTCCGTCAGAAGACAAGCAGAACATACAAGTGGTCCTTTTCTCCAACATTATTTTCCGAAAATGGTCTCAGCATTACAAGTTGTTACAGTTCTATGTTATAAAACAGGATTTTGAATTGGTACTGGAGATTCCACATACCGACTTTCTCTTCTTCCGTCTGTGCCTGTCTTATCCTCTTCTCCATCATGGAAGAGTCTCTTGCCTCAACACACTTCCTGATGTAGGCGCACTTCTCCACCAGCTGCCTACAGGGAGAGAATGGGAGAAGAAAACAATCAGCCATTCCATCACCATTAGAAACACATCCATACATTGGCTGATTAGTTGTCTGTCTCACAGAACCATACCATTTTCCCTTCTGTGTATGAGTTTGTTGTGTAACAGCACACTCTGTAAAATTCCAGCTATATGGCGGCAGTCTTTAAATAATAGGGCCAGTAAATAGGTCACGTCACTTCACGAGACCGGTGACACACAATGTACACTTGGTCCGGTCTAGTAAAGTCATATTTGGCGGTCATGCCAGAACTGGTTCTTGAATATAAGACTGTCCCCGGAAATCTGATACCGGAAGTAAGCTGGGTCCCATCTCACATATCGTAAGTTGGCGCTTGCAAAGGGAGCCGAGAACCAGCTAAGTACCGGAAGCAGCACCTCATGAGACTTACAGGCCCTATTGAGTCTCAACCAGACAATGTAGTGATCAATAGCACAAGCATTGATCTATGCAACTGGAAAATGATGACGTGTCAACCAAGTCAGCGAGCCTGACCACCCGATCCCATTAGTCGTCTCTTACGACATGCATGGGTTACTGAAGACCCAGATCTTCACAGTGTCCCTTCTACAAAGCCTGTACTCTAATGCTATAGCTCTAAATGACACAAGACCAGGTTTTCAAGAGGTTTTGAATCTTTATCTCACTGTATACATGATTCTTCCTCTGACTTAACACGAGACTGGAAAGTAGGACACCATGGCAAATATGTCATTTTGTCTACAGGTTTGAAATATGCCCCCCCACAAACAAAAATGTGACCTTTAGGCCAGACCAATTGTATTTCTTGTTTTACAGATTTTTGTCCTCAGAAAACCTAAAGGCAGGAGGGAAAAAAATAAAAAATAAAATTCACCAGTCAAAGTAATATTCCTTTTAGATACTAAAAGTATTTTTTTTCTTATTCTTGAAAAAATACGACCGGTGGATCTGTAAAACAAGAATTAAAATTGGTCTGGCCTTAGTTAGCAGCAATTGGATGCCAGGTCTTCATATGCACATGAGACACTCAACCTGTGTGCTGAGGTCTGTCTTTGTTGTTTGTGTCGCAGCAAAACACTCATGTCTTCAAACTGTTTGTACCTTATGCAACATTCGCTAATATTGAAGCCCTATCATGTCTAAAAATAATTCAGAGTATGAACAGACTGATCAGTGTTTCATTTAACAACCATCACCCTGCCATCAGAACATGACGACATGCTCACCTACATCACTAGTCTGACCATCAGATGGAATCTAGTCACCTTATATTTAATGCCTGGCTCCAGGCAGGGTACCTCGAGGTCACTAAACGGAATTACTTACTCAGCCGTCGGCCTCCTTGAGGGGTTGTACTTCAGCATCAGACGGATGGCCGTGATCAAGTCTCCAGAAAAATGCTGTGAAGAAGAAGACCATTATTTCACCATATAGGACGGTCTTGACCGGGCTTACTGTTTTGTGTTAAACAGTTACAAAACACTATTGTAAAGCGGCCTTCACACAGCAAACTAAAGTTTGACAACACATGTTGTTAAAATTGTTAAAGTTGTCACGTTTTCATACATCAAACACATGTTGTCAAACTTTCGTGTCATTTGAGCGCCATGTCTCTATCGGTGCGTCACATGACAATTTTGTTGACTGAGATAGGTTGTTTCTGAACAACACGAGTTTGACAACACTTCACAAAAGTTTGATGGGAAAGTTGGTGAGAACAGAGACCAATCCTATTTCTTGACAACAGTTTGACAACTCTGAAATTGGTGTTGGTGGCGAGTTGTTGGAATGTTCACACTCTCAAACTCGAGTTTGACAACATATGTTGTCTTTAGTTTACCGTGTGAAGGCTGCTTTAGTGTTGGTTTAATCATATGATAGAAGTTTAACAATGGAGTGAGTGACTCCACTTACTTTTATGCCACTTTTAGCAATGTTCCAGCAATATCACAGCAGGGGACACAAGTAATGGGCTTCACGTATTGTACCCACAAGGGGAATCGAACCCTGGTCTTGGGCGTGAGAAGCGAATGCTTTAACCACTTGGTGCCTACCCCAACTCCCTTGTGTCTGGAAGTTAGTGGCTAGCTGGTAAATCATGACTTCCATGAAACCAAAGGACAATAAGATCAATGTTACTCTGTTCAGTAATTTATTAACTGAACAAGATCTAAAAAAATTGTTCTGTAAACTTAACACTGCCTTCTGACTAAAGGTTAGATTCAGATTTTCTTTTCTCAAATACCAAAGCAACCCTTACCTTGGCCACATCCTCAAAGATCTCCTCCAGTACGCCAGGGTCGTCCTTGACCTCCTTCAGCTTCGTTGCCACCATGACACCATCAAACATAGCCGTTGTCGTCATCTCAAACAAGATGCAGCCCAGGGCCCACACATCACTCCTCTCATCGTACGGGTTGTTCTGGATTTCTGGGGCCATGTAGTTAGTCGTGCCTGTTGGACACAAGAAAGTGTAAACATTGGATGTATCACTGGATATGCAGCTACATTGGAACACTGACTATTTTGTTCAAAATGGAGCTGTTTTACCTGCATATTTTCCTGCAATTTAACGTATTTTAACATAAAGTTAAGCTGAACATTATCGTTTCTTATTCAGTCTTGTTATCAGAAAAATATAGGTCACCTCTACTTACTGAATGCTGTAATTATTGTCAAAATTACAACTATTGGTACATTGGAACAATTATTATTTAGCTCAAAATGTAATATTTTTTAAAACTGCTTTTTGTCCTTTATACTGAGGTATTTCAACAATGCATTTAGTGCAAAAATGTCAAAGTAAACATGTAAACACCCCCATATCGGAGGTATCAGCTTCATACTGAGTTAATGCCTGGTCTTGTATAGTACACCTATATCATGGCAGCATGTAAATGTTAGGGGTGAAACAGTACGGTACGTATTGCGCCACAAGGCCTTCGGTTCGGTCCAGCTCGGTTCAGTAAATGAGATATGATCATAATGCAGAAATTGAGCCAAAGAGCCAAATCGTACATTGTTTAATAACATGGGGAAAAAATAACCACAATCGTTTTTATTTTGAAAGAACAAAAATGTTATTTTGTGACTAGACAGAAATGACGGTAGGAAAAACGAAAATACCGAACTTTTGGATTGCATTACGGTATACCGAACCAAAGGCAAAATACTGTGGTTCTACTAATATCGCGGTATACCGTTTCACCCCTAGTCAATTTTCAAGTTTGGTCCAGAGAAAGCAGTGGTTGATAGCAAGAACAACAAGCCATATTACCAGGATATGATGACACAGAATACATCGCGAGGACAGTATTCTTGTACATAATGTACAGGTGAGTATAATGTTACTACTCTTTCAGTTTTCGGAAATCTTGAAGTGTTGATCCATTCTTACAACAAGCAGAATCTCCACAGGATACTTAACCCAGTTCCTGTACTCACCCACAGTGTTCCTGGTGCATGTCTTGGCGTCGCCCATGATGGTTGCAACGCCGAAGTCCCCGAGGCAAATGCTGTCATTATCTTGAATAAAGATGTTACTGGGCTTCAAATCCCTGCAAACATCAGAAATCACAATAAATCAATAAATATTTCTTCACAATGTTTTCTCAGAATTGATGTAAAATAATTGCAATTTTCTCTGAAAATGTTGGTATCTCATAATCTGAGAGATTATCAAGTTAAGACAGACAAGATTTCTGTTGACACTAAATTTCACTACCAAATTAAATGACAATCAGAAGAATACTTAACAGACCTCTATTAAGACCTCGTAAGCAGGCGTGTACTTGAAGCTAAAGTCAATAACGTTTTACATTCTTATCACTAAGTTCAAAGCAAAATTATAGTTGTCTGTTCAAAAATACTATCACAGATAAAAAATAATCATTATTTTATACATCAAAATAAACTTCCTTTGCTTTAATCTCTTTGTTGAACTACTCGACCTCAACGTTCACTAAGTGAATGCTGCTGTTGACATTACCTGTGAATGACACCTTTCCTGTGTACAAATATAAGTGCCTCCAGAATCTCCCCCAGGTACCTCTTTAGAACCTGTAACAGACAATAATACTGTACATCTTCACCAGAACCACACAGCAATCATAGCACAGCCATCTAGCGCTACATCAACGGTAACTCCCTTACTTTAACACAGCAGTTGACCCGTGAAGATCCATGTTACAATTGATTTTCAGCAACCCATGCTTGTCGTAAGAGGTGACTTACATGATCGAGTGGTCAGACTCACTGACTTGGTTTAACACACATCGTATCTCAACTGTGTAGATTGATGCTCATTATGTTGATTACTGGATTGTCTGGTCCAGCTTCGATTATGTACAGACCGCTTAGCCATATAGCTGGAACATTGATGAGTGTGGCGAAACCAACCAACTAACACAGCAGTTAACAAAGTTATAACACTAAAATTGTATTATGAAACCAAAGTCCAGTTTGTATCAAGGAAACCAAAAAATAGTTGTGTTTTAAAAATTTGGAAAAAGCAAATAGCACCAATTCATGGCTAGACTGATATGAATAATAGTCTTGAGCACTGTTTGATAAATGAGAAATATTGAACAGTCTTTAATCCAGATTCCAACCATGACAAATGCATGGATGCACAGTACCAACTCCTATACAGTACAACCAGAAATTATTGAGAATTTAAAGATTGTATTTTTTTTTTTCACTCATTACTTACGTATTTAGTGTGAATATTAGCAGAACATAACTCCAGATTCAAAGACAGGTGAACAGTTAGTATTTTGTCAAGTCACCATGGGCAGCAATGCAGGCTTCAATGCGGCAGGGCATACTACTGATCAAAGAAGTTAGAAAGTCGTGGTCCATGCTGTCCCAATATCGGACAACCTCTTCTTTCATTTCAGCAATATTTGTCAGATTTTTCTTATTGACACTTTCCTTCATAAGTCCCCAAACATTTTCTTTTGGATTTAGTTCAGGGCTATAGCTTGGCCAATCTAATAATGTCACATTTTGGGTCCGAAACCAGGCCTGTGAATGCTTTGAACGATGTTTTGGGTCGTTGTCCTGCTGGAAAATCCAAAAATTTCCATAGAACACGTGAGCAGATGGAAGTAAATGTCCCTCAAGAATATCTGTGTACCGCTCACTGTTCATATTCCCTTCAAATCAACAGAGGGGCGTTGCCCTTAACACAGATATGCCACCCCACACGTTAAATTTCGGACTGTACTTTGGGCGCTGATACAAAGGTTTTTCAGTTTGTTTGGTCCAGAATTTCAGTGTATTAGGAAACAGCCACACAGAACTTTCATCTGAGAAAATCACATTGTCCCAGTTAAAATTTCTATGCTGTAAGCACCAGTTCAACCTTGGCTCCTTTTGTTCAGGTTTCATGATCGGTGATGGAATTCCTTGACTTTTCTGCCAACCCATTGCATGCAGCTCAGTTCTAATTGTCTCCTTACAGACAGCCACAGTTCCTCTATCAATCATATCCAGCCTTAAGTTTTCTAAACTCCTTCGTTTGTTTTTAGAAACAAGAATATCAAGCCGCCTCCTGTCACCGACAGTCAATTTTCTGGGCCTACCTGCGCCTCCCTGGTGTTCATTGCCATATCCATTTGCAATATTTTTTAAAACACAATAAACAGTGGACAAAGGGATGCCTGTTCTACTTGAAATCCCTTTAGCTGATCTGATGTCCTTGTTATAATACTCTAAAATCAACTTCCTCTTCTCTAAATCATCCATACTGCGAAACACTGAAAAGGTCGTCTGCTAGCAAGTAAACAAAGGGGGATAACTCTTCACAAACTAATTAAAAAGGATTAACGGAGTTGTCTCTCTTGAATGAAACCAAGCACTTGATAGCTGGTCACAGTTGTTTATACTAGAAATCCAATTAAACATATTCCTAAAATTCTCAATAATTTCTGGTCATACTATATCCCCCTCACTATATCTCCCCACTGTGGGATAATAACAGCATAAAACAAGATTCCTCTACCAAGGATCCTACACTTCTTTATATCCTACATACCACTATACAACAGAACTGAACTCATTACAAATTTCCAATTGGTTTCATTTTTTAACCAAATATATTTCCTTTAACACAGAAACATCAACGATTAGTTACACAAATCAAATACCAGTATAGTAGCAATCATCATTAAAAGACATATACACATTATATGAAAAACTCCTGAAATCAATCCTTGTTACTCAACAACCTTGTAATTACTTTCATTAATAGTTTATTACTAAAACACTTAAGGTCCCACAATTTTATCTTTCCCAAGATCCAGGGCCTAGATTTTCGTAGCTCTCTTAGAGCTAAGATAGTCGTTCGAAAATCTAGGCCCAGGTCTAGATATCTGAGTGTTTGTTTTTCTATGCCACAATCATCAATATCTCAGCTTTTTACAGTGACACAAGATAAATTGGTCTGGGCTGGACATTCCAGTGATTTGGCAACTTTCCACACTGTTGAGGTATGGAGACATGCTGTCCAACCGTCCAACCTCTAGTTTACTTATAGAAAGGTTTATTACCACAACACTTAAAGTTTCGACAATCTTATCTTCCCGAGAAAGATTTATTACCATCAGGACAATGTTATCAAGGCCATGAGTATAGATTTCATTGACATATGTACAACTACTAACAGTATTTTGGGGTCTATAATGCACACTTTTTTTCCAATGTAGAGTACAGGGCGTACACATTACACAGACAGACAAAATAGCGAGTCAGCAAATCTGTACTTAACCATTCTTATTACTGTTATTACAATATCTGATTACAAAAAAGTTTCACGGTAATTCTGGCTTTACACTTTGATGTATTTTGTTATTTTGGTTTCATGTTTCATTTAATATAATTCACATTAACTTTGTTGAAATTGGGTGTGAACGGACTGATCAGATCAACTCATTGTTATTTACTGCTCTCAGATTACAGCTACTGACACCTTGAACTGGACCTTATATTAATACAGATATCAAGTGCTCATGATAAGTCACACTTGTGGTTATCTACTGTTGTGTGTACTGTATTGCATAGAGTCTGCATAGTGTCTACAGTATCAGGTATCAAAAAAGTACAGTACTTATGGTTAATTCTAAATACACACCACAGGGTGCCAATATTAGCTGGTTTTCAGATTCCAAAAGATTTAACAATGCATTTAAGAATGATTCACAAACACATCAAAATTAAGTGTTTTCATGCGCCAAAAATAGGGTTGATAATATGGGAAAAAAAAAAAAAAAATTTTCATTTCTCTTTTTTTGTGGTTTACATATCTTAAAAGATTATGGATTTTTTACAAAAACATTTTAAAAATAATATTTTTTTCTGTGCAAAAGCTGAGATTTGTTGGAATAAAAACAATACAAAATGAGAACTATTTTTGTGAAATAAGACTGGAATGTTAAAAATGTTACTGCATCTACATAGGAACAGCACTCACTCACTACCTAAAATAGATTCTGTATCAAGAACATAAAATTCTATCCAGTCTGCAGCTGTCAAGTTAAGTTCGGTTTGAAGTTAATTTTTGTTCAAGTGTTTCGCAATGTTTTGGATCTGAATGTTTCAAATATTTACTAATTAAAAACCAATGATCTGTCCCGACCAGGTCAAGTTGCTGTCTAAAATCTCAGGGCTTTTTAGGAGAGTGGGGAAAGTGTAGTTGAAACTAGTAACCACTGTGTTGATGTTAACTTGTTCTTTCCCTTGTTTGATTCTTGCGAAATATTTATTTACATTTCTATTTTGTCATGACTTAATGTTTTTTTTAAACTTAATCAAGCATAGTGATTTTGTTGTGTTTTTGCTATATAAATCAAGCACTGACTCGATTATAAGTAGTTCCTTGTTAAAATTTTTTTATTGTAATATATTGCAATATATACATGCTTTGGCATCGCGATATATCGCAATATGAACATTCTCTGCAATACCCGCCCCTACAAGACACACAGTACAACATGGCCTCACCTCCTCCTCCATGGGCTGTTTGTTCTTCTGGTACTGCTGGATGATCTTCTTCAGATCCCCCTTGCTGTAGTAATCCATCACAATGCACACAAACATCGACGACTCCTGGAACAGCCAGGAAGTAGGTACAGACACAATGAGTGAGTGAGTTTAGTTTTACGCCGCACTCAGCAATATTCCAGCTATATGGTGGCGGTCTGTAAATAATCAAGTCTGGACCAGACAATCCTGTGATCAACAGCATGAGCATCGATCTATGCAATTGGGATAGATGACATGTGTCAACCAAATCAGCAAGCCTGACCACCCGATCCCGTTTGTCACCTCTTACAACAAGCATGGGTTACTGAAGATCAATATTCCCACCCAGATCTTCACGGGTGAGGTACAGACACAATACATGTCCAATGTTGTTATGTGCCTCCCAGCTTAGTTTGTTTGTTTGATAGTTGTTATATTCTTTAGGAGAAAACAGTGTAAGTGATACAATAATAACAAGAAGACAAAGTCATCAATATCCCCTGCAATGGCAAAATACTCTTCATGATTATGTCTACGAGTTATGATTATGTCAAATATTTAGGTGTGTATATAGAAAAGTGGAAGGAGAGTATTGAAAGGTTTCTAAAGTTCTGCTCCAGAAAGGAACACTATCACCAATTTCAGTCTATGTCAAACTTGTTGCCATGGAAATGCCAAAAATATTTTATTCAGAATTCCAAAACTACCAAAAGGCACCAGTACACCACCAGATCTATCTATGTGCCAAGTTTGGTGAAGAAATAGTGAACGGTTTTAGAGTTCTGCTCTGGAAAAGACAAATGTGCATTGCAGAGGATAATAATGTTAAAATTTGTATATTTGTTCTATGACAGATGACAGACCAAGGAAGAAGATCTGTGGGTGTCTCACCTCCTTGTCCCACATGACAAAGAACTCCTTGTAGCCACACACGTAGGGATGCTGCAGCTGTCGGAGTGCCATGGCCTGGGGACAAACAAACTTCCATATATGGCAGGCAGACTAACGCAGGCGGATACAGCTTTTGAGGAAGAGGGGGTGCACACTTCATTTTCAATGGTCATTTTGACAAAAAGGGGGTGCACACCCCTACACCCCCATCTGGATCAGCCTATGACTATTAACTTGTAAAAAGAGAATACATTTGAAACGTCAATGCAGTGATCTACTTTTTTTATCTGGGTAGCAGTATTTCCCTTGCGATCAATCTGCATTCTACCCTGGAAGTGAGAGTGAGTGAGTGAGTTTAGTTTTAGCTTTTAGCAATATTTCTGCAATATCACAGCAGGTGACATCAGAAATGGGCTTCACACATTGTATCCATGTTGGGAATTGAACCCGGCTCTTTGGCCTGACGAGCGAACGCTTTAACCACTAGGCTACCCTACCACCCCTCGGAAGTGAGACAGCCAGTGAGAGAGTGGGGTTTGAACACTTTGAACAGTATTGCAGCTACATCACTGCATGTCAGCTTGATGTAGGAGGAAGGCCTGAAGTGATGCGGGGCTGCTTACCACTTTGTTGAATCCTATGAGCACAGAATGGTGTTAACATTCTAAAAACAAGTGATTTAAACCCATAGGATTCTGAGACACCCAAGGTAGGCAATTCTGCCTTTTGATGACAGGGGCGCCCTTGCTCTCCTACCCAGGAAGTGAGTTTATTAATCCCATATGCGTAAATAGAGTGAGTGAGTGAGTGAGTGAGTGAGTGAGTGAGTGAGTGAGTGAGTGATGAGTGAGTGAGTGAGTGAGTGAGTGAGTGAGTGAGTGAGTGAGTGAGTGAGTGAGTGAGTGAGTGAGTGAGTGAGTGAGTGAGCTGAGAGCGAGTTTTTAGCTTAATCACGACAGGGGACACCAGTATTCGCCATGATGAGCGAATGCTTTAATCACTAGGCTACCCCACCGCCCTATTTGTAAATCTAGTTATGACAATGCAGGGCATCATGGTGAAATATTGCACTGACATGCTTCTTTTAAGATTAACTACACAACAAATTCACAGTTTTGAAGAGGGATTTATGTAATCTTCATATCAGCAGTTTGATATAAAAGTATCATTAACAGTATTAAACTAAAACAAATATTTTAACATCATATGTATAAACTGTATATCCACCAAAAACCCATATGATTATATATATATGTTAGTGTGCTAATTGTATCGCAAAATAATAAAAAATGTGTGCATTTATGCCTCCTCAAAAAGTCGAAATTGTACTGATGATGTCATACAATGCAATGTCGCTCGATAAGGTTACACAGCTCAGTGACATCCTATTTTAAGGGAGGTGGGATAGCCTAGTGGTTAAAGTGTTCGCCTTTCAAGGCAAAGGCCCGGGTTCGATTCCCCACATGGGTACAATGTGTGAAGCCCATTTCTGGTGTCTCCCACCGTGATATTGCTGGAATATTGCTAAAAGCAGCGTAATACTAAACATGCACATCTATTCACTCCTTTTTCAAGGAATGTATTGACACTACTCCCATTAGCCTATGACAATTGCGGTCCATATAAAATTGTAAACTGGGCACTTATTTTCTTTTTTCTGATCCACAATGGCATATCTTGGATGATTTGGCATTGAGAATCAATGGTACTTAATGGATCAATGTCAGGCTGGTCGACAGTCACTTAGATTGCCCAGTGCCATACCCTCTATCTCCAGGCCGAGCATTTCGAAGCTGGACCAAACAATCCATTGTTCATGAGCATCACACTACGCAATTGGGATATGATAAAAAATAGACATCAGTGTCTGATATCTGCTTGAATATGGATCTGCTTTTGATGGATTCAGTTCCTGTGTCAAGAGTACAGTCACCTTGATCAGGGGAGATAACTCACATCTTCACTTCTTTAGTGAATGAGTTTAGTTTTACGCCGCACTCAGCAATATCCCAGCTATATGACGGCAGTCTGTAGATAATCGAGTCTGGACCAGACAATCCAGTGATCAACAGCATGAGCATCGATCTACGCAACTGGGATATGATGACATGTGTCAACGAGCCTGATCACCCGATCCCGTAAGTCGCCTCTTACGACAAGCATGGTTTGCTGAAGACCAATTCTAACCCAGATCTTCATGGGCCGAATGGCCTAGGGCAAGACTTACACTCCAGGTGACATTCCTTGAACTGGAAGCTTAGTCGGTCAATCGATCAAAAATCAAACAACCATAACTAATAACTATGGTGGTATATTCCCATTGGATAAGACCTACTTTGCCCACACAGTTATAGCGTGAGGTCACTGACCAGTGACTAGTGGTATTGTCACCAGGGACTGGTGAAGGTGCGGAGCATTCAAAGCCTTTCGTTCCTGAGCATCCGGGAATCATTGTTAAAAATAATAAGCAAACTCAGACAACCACTACTAATGAGTTACAGCAAAATATTCTCTGGTGGAGGGTTCCTCGTTTTGGTCCACTAGAGCCAAGCCCAGTTAAGTGGTGTTCCAGATGCAGCAGTGTTGTATGCTGGCTGCCATAGTGTTTATCTGATGACAACATAGTATTGATGAAAGATAGTTTCCTATCAGCATGTGTGATTATGCATTCTAAGTGATATTCCCAATTCAGTTTGGCTGTTTTAGCTGTGTACACTGGTATGACTCAAGAGTTCTTAAACAGCTTAACCTGCTTAACTTTAGACCCCAAACACATGGCGAGTGAGTGAGTGAGTGAGTGAGTGAGTGAGTGAGAGTGAGGCTTTACAATGCTTTTAGTAATATTCCAGCAATATCATGGCGAGGGACATTGAAAATGGGCTTCACACATTGAACTCATTGGGAAAATCAAACTGCTGTGCATGTGATGAGCAAACACTTGACCCACTAAGCTACCCTACTAGACCCTGAAGGATATGAACCAAATCAGACTATACATATAAATATGTATATATCTAACAGAACATGACACCAAGCTAATCTGGTTGGTTTATCATACCAACAATATTTATAAGATACATATCCTAACCATTAGTAAGAGCTGGAAGGTCACGGTTCGATCCCCGACGCTGGCCATACCAAGTGACGTTAAAATATGGTCTTGTTGGTCCCTGTCTGGCGCCGCATTAATGGGTACAATAAGGACTGGTCCTCTCAGTATAATGTGTCTGAGTAGGGTATTCCTGCTTCACTGGCGCATGGTATCTCAGTGTGCTAGCACTATAAAACCCTTAAGTGTTCTCGCCGCACATAAAATACACATGTACGCCGCCATATGAGCAAAAAGATCGCCAACGTGAAACCAAATTACACCTCACCTTCTTTCTATCCAATCAGTTCTAAACACGCGGTTAGCGCAAAAAGATCGCAACGCCAATTAGATTCAACTTAGATTCAACTAACACAAGCAAATGTGAGGCCACAAATATCCCCCATCTGCCGGGGACTTGTGTTGATGTTACACACAAGACGTTTAATGGCTAGCTTGTCCGTTGTCAACGAGGGCGATGGAGACGCCACTGATCCGCCATAACATGACTGAGTTCTGTCTAGAAGAAACGTTTGCGCATCGCGCAGGAGAAGAGGTTTAGTTTTCTCGAAGTATACGGAAATTACCGAGGCCTTGCGATTGATCACTTTTGAAACAATGTCGCTGATTGCACAACTAAATCTGATTGCCTCCAATCACGAGTCTTGAACGCTCACACCATGAAAGGGCCGTATAAGAACAGAGGTTACGTAGGAAGATATGACAGGAGTAACCTCTGTGGGAAGAGAATGCACCTCACCTAACCATTAGTAGTCACCAATAAGTGATATGTGCAGTGTTTCCATTCACTGGTAATTGCCAGTAATTTACCAGTAAAATAGGCCACGTACTGATAAAATATAATCCTTATGAGTTTGAAATACTGTATATAATGGTCTTAATGCTGTTGGTCAGGGAGTGGTAAACTGATAGATGAACACAAACTCTAATCTAATTATATTGCAAACTGATTACAAGCATGCCTCAGTTCAGTATTATAGAAATCATTCATCCTCGTACAAAATTAAACACACCTGAGTTTACCTGTAGGGTTTTTGACTGTCTGTGACACTGTGTGTGCCAACTAGACAAGTCACACTGGTGTCATGAGGCATCACTGACATTAGTGGGAGATGTTTAGTAAACCTTCAGTACTGTAGGCAAAATACCCCACCCTAGATCTAATTCTAATTAGTAGGCAAATTGTCATGTACTGTCACACAAGGATAAGTTGGACCGGTGCAGAGAACGCGTTTATGAGAAGTAGGCGGTGCACGGCAATGAGCAAACCTACTTGGTTTGTGGAAGGTAGAGCAGATGTACGCTAGTGCATGTGCATTGCATGATGATGAAATTGATTCCGCGCGTAGCTGCACACGCCTTGCTCATAAGACTCTCACATCGGTGTAGCAAGTCGTACTACACTTGATCGCGGACAACCTGGGGCTTTTTCACTAACAATGGCAAGCGCTAGTGGGCGGCACTCTTACATGCTAATACGGGTCAATTGTCAGGTCGATGCTCAACTTATCCTTGTTTGCCAGTAGGCAGATGGACAGCAGCACCACTGAGAGAATGTGACAGAATGTAACCTTGCTTTAGTAAATTGTTGAAGTGCTTGAGACCTCCTCTACACCTCATTGGGTTTTGATTTTGTGAGATATGTACTTTGTTTGGCCCTTGACCACCTACATGAAGGCTCATACTTATAAAGGTAGATTCTATTGAATTAATTTCAACACCTGGTTCTCATTGGATTTATACCCCGTGAAGGTCCGGGTTAGAATGAACCTTCAGTAACCCATGCTTGTCGTAAGAGGCGACTAACGGGATCGGGTGGTCAGGCTCGCTGGCTTGGTTGACACAGATCGACGATTACGGCAGATCGATGCTCATGCTGTTGATCACTGGATTGTCTGGTCCAGACTTGATTATTTACAGACCGCCGCCATATAGCTAGAATATTGCTGAGTGCGGCGTAAAACTCAACTCACTTACTCATTGGATTTATAGTCCAGTTCAACCTCAAACAGACCTAATGGCTCAAAACCTTTTCAAAACAGACCAGAAAGTTTTAATGCCCTTTTAATACAGATCCCAAAGGTAAAGACCTTTTCAAGACAGACGTAAACATTTAAGGGACTTTCATTATAGACATAGAGGTTCAAGGACTTTTCCATAAAGACCCAAAAATTCAAGCCTTTTCAATACAGACCTAAATATTCAAGCCTTTTCAATACAGACCTAATTATTCGAAGTCTTTTCAGTATAGGCCTAAACATTAGTAAACTTTTCAAACCAGACCTAAATATTCAAGGACTTTTCAGAACAGACCTAACAATTCAAAGCCCTTCCAATACAGGTTTAAAGTCAAGGCCCTTTCAGTATGGACTCGGTGTTCAAGGCCTTTCTAACGGGACCCTAAGAATTCAAGGCCTTTTCACGTCTGTATGAACCCTGACTGCTTATTACCGATTATCAAATAAACCAACACCTAGGTCAAGAACAGCTGCATTCCAGCTACTTCTGTCCAAACATAACATGATATACAGCAGAGGTACAGATAAGCTGCGTATCTGCGTAAATTACGCAAATATTTATGTGTCAACTCAATTCCTATTAAGTCTATTGCATACAAGTACGCTTGAATTTTGGTAAATACCCAGTAAATGTGATCTTACATACATACACACAAAAATGTCAAATTTTAGCTTGCATACATGTGGATAGATAAAATAACGTAGGTATATTGAGAGGTTCTATTCAGGAAAGTTTGCAAATTGCAGTCTTTCTGATCGTTTCTCATATTACAGATCAAATATAGATAACAAAGACTAACATTTAAACTTTATTATATTTTTACAATTAATGGAAAATGGCAAAATACCCAATTGAGTTTGAGTGAGGTGAGTAGAATTTGTTTGGTTACTCAAAGGAAAATTAGGATACCCAATTGAGATGAACACAAAACAGTACATAACTCAATTACCCAAAAAGTTATCTGTAGCTCTGTATACAGTGCTGTCTGTATAAAGAACACCATAGTTGACTCACGTTTGACATACTACTTAGTCTAGGGTCAGTATATTACACAGGTAAACAAAGGTAAATCTATGTGGCAACATAGATAGCCCTGAGTGGCATACACCTCCGTGTCCCCAACAAGGTCAGTGTTGTGTCCCCCCAACTCGATAAACACACACCTTCACATAAATCTGTTGTGACAACCTGGAAGTCCTGTGTGTCTAGTTCTCACTGATATCTTTTATCATTGTTATAGTTTGATCTTTATATCAAATAAACAACCTGACAAATAGAAACGATGTCAAGTGAAATAAAGCAAGAATATTTAAAACACATGACTTTTGGTCCTGGTAAGCTGTAACTAACGTTTCAGATCATTTTTTGTCCTTTAAAAAGTTACCCCACTTTTACCATGTGTGCAGGCTTTATCCAGAGTATCTTTTTTATATTATTATTTTCAAAGGTGACAAGTTACATTTGTACATGTACAGTTATTTCATGAATAAAACAGCTTTACTTTGAAAACAAACATTAAACTAAGCTTTGTTTGTTTGCTTGCTTAACGCCTTACTCAGCAATATTCTAGCTATATGTGGGGGGTCTGTAAATAATCGAGTCTGGATCAGACAATCCAGTGATCAACAGCATGAGCATCGATCTACGTAACTGGGATACGATGACATGTCAATGAGCCTGACCACCCGATCCCGTTAGTCGCCTCTTACGACAAGCATGGGTTACTGAAGATCAACTCTAACCCGCATCTTTGAGGGTTGGACAAAAACCTGTCCATCCCCCAGATCTTCACTGGTTGGTGACAAACTAAAAAGTGACAGGATATACAGTAACCTATGTTTATAACGAACTCAAAGGGATCATTCCTTTTATTATGTTATAACCATAGTTCACAATACGCATCTCAACCAAAACACATAGCAAATGGCTTAGACCAAAAGTCACTTTTATACACTTGTTCATCATAAATATACAAAACATATTTAAATTAGTCTGGGTAAATAAAAAACATGCACCAAGAAAGCAAAATTATAAAAAATAATCCTTGTTTTGGATGAAGATGGAATGAATGGCTACCACTAATGAGAAGGTGAACCAGCTTTATCTATCAGGCAGGAATGAGAGCATTGAGCACTGAAACACCAAATATTGTTAATATTTAAAACTGGAACAAAGGATCAACTGATATACTCCAGCAGTATACCTGTTAACTTTGTCTGTAACGAACCCTATTGTGTCAGTGTTTACAAAGCACCACAGCTGACTTGAGTCTGTCATGCACCAGTGGTGTAATACAATTCACTAATGTTTAGGATTTTGGTCCTGGGATTAATCAATACAACACTGTCCGAATACTTCGAGCAGGTGCACTGGGGACTAACAAACATATCTAACGAACGCAAATTTCAGACATTTGCCAATTAATATAAATTCCTTATAAGAGGATTTTATTTCTTGTTTTACAGATCCGCTGGTCGTATTTTTTCAAAAATAAGACAAAATAAAAAATTATTTTCCCCGCTCAAAAATAAAATTCTCGGGTTTTTTATTGGCCAAAAATGTAAACTTACCAACAAAATATTTTTGGATTGTTTTTTGCCCGCTTATAAACATCATGACTTGCCAAAACTAAAATACTTTTAGTATTTAAAAGGAAAATTATTTTAACTAGTGATTTTTATTTTTTTCTCTCCTGCCTTTAGGTTTTCTGAGGACAAAAATCCGTAAAACAAGAAATAAAATTGGTCTGGCCTTATGCCAAAATATTATTTCATTGTTATAAAATTTTAACAGCTAATCATTAAGAGTTTATAGAGACATACACAGTTCAAACACTCATATTACATAGTGTTACTATTTGGCAAAAGGGCCCAAAACTTAAGATTACCAAGGTAAGTTCTTCGGGATATATATAGGCATAAACTTGAGTACAAAACACATGGTTATTTCTATTTCAAGTCAAAGCACATTATGCATTTTATTGTGTTTCAGTAAATCACTGCCTGAAATAGTACAGCAGAGGTGTGCTGTAATCGACAGGTTAAATGTATAGAAAATCATCAAATATTGCATATTTACATTTCAAGAATGTTGCTTTTATTCACTGAACATCAAAGCTTCAATGAGTTAACTGTTTTGGCATGAAGAACTGATATTGATCAACCAATGTTTGTTGTAAGGACACAGGGTCTGTATGAGAGACGAGGCAACGCCAAACAATCACTTAATATTTGTAAAACTCATGGATGATTGGACAGGAGAAAAACTGTAAAATGATTAATATTGGGGCATCGTGCTGGTTATAAATAGACATCAGGCCAGATCAATTTTATTTCTTGTTTTACAGATTTTTGTCCTCAGAAAACCTAAAGGCAGGAGGCAGTGTATGAAATAAGGCCCGTCCGACCGACCGAGACAGGCTAGATTTCTGCCGGACGGTCTAATTTTACAGCTAGCCAGCCCGATGGACGGGTGAAAAAAAATATTCAGATAACGTGTCCATTGGCACTATCTATTTAGTATTTAAGAAGGACTGGTTAAATCTCTTCTGGGATGGTAAGTTTTTAAGTTACCAGCCCAGATATCTGGCTGGGTTTTTGGCTTATTTCATACACTGCAGGAGGGAAAAAAATAAAAATGAAATCACCAGTCAAAGTAATATTCCATCTAAATACAAAAAGTATTTTACTTTTGGCAATTTATGAAGTGCATATGGGGCAAAATGGAAGTTCACATTTTTGGCCGATAAAAACATAAGGATTGTTTTTGGAAACTTTTTATATTTTTTGGCCGATGAAGAAACATCAGGATTTTATTTTTTCAGGATTAAATAAAACAATTTTTGTTAGTTATTTGGAATATTCTGTCCAACAATCTCCCAATTGCTGCTACCAGTTTCTTCTGAGCCTGGGGTGGTGGGGTAACAAGAAATAAAATTGGCTCTGGCCGCCGAAGACCCGGGATTCCCCACATGGGCACAATGTGTTAAGCCCATTTCTGTTGTCCCTACAGAGAGATTTGGAATATTCTGTCCGTAAAACTAATCTCAATTCAGCTTCAGTTTCTTCTGAGCCTAGAAGTCACTGACAATTCCAAATGTGCAAGAAAAACTGTTGTAACTGTATTGGATAATAAGAACTTTATAATCACAACTTTTTCTTGCAACATAAGCATTAACTACAGGTGTTGACAACTCAGGTTTTGTATTAAAATTTCTTCTTTCAGTGTATGAAATAAGTCCCAAAACCAGCCAGACATCAGGGCTGGTAACTTCAAAATGTTACCAGCCCAAAATGGATTTAACCAGACCAAATATGGTGAATTTACTCAGATGTATGGAACATCTAAAAAGTTTACCAGACCATCGGGCTGGCCAGCAGTAAATTTAGACCGTCCGTCAGAAATCTAGACCGTCTCGGGCGGTCAGACGGGCCTTATTTCATACACTGCTTCTTTACATTTATATTTTCTGTCCATCTTCAGGTAACTGTATCATCTGTTCATTAGTTCAATGATCTGTGTGTATATACTTTTTCTTGTTATAATTTCTATTTTGTACATCTAGTAAACTGTTTGCCAGAAAGGTTGCTCTATAGCAAATAATAATAAATAATCTTTGTAATAAGTAATGACCTTTTGTATCTTGTAACATATGGAGGTTAAAGTCAATAGCATCAGGAGATTGTATTATAATTTTTCTATTCATTTAATATGTGAAACAAAATAGACTTACCTCCTTGAAGGCCTTGTTAGCCTCACTCTCATCATGACATTCAACCTGGAAAAACATGCAAAGACTGATAACACACAGAATAATTAATTAACACACAATATGATATTATTACTCATGTTCAACTAGCAGTCTTTGCAATCCGTTCAAAGGACACAGATGCATATATCAACTGGTCCTTTAGAATCTCTATTACTTCTTTATTTTAATTCTTCACATTCAAGGACAAAAAAAAGATCATATGAGAAACCTTAATGTAGGACAAGGCTCATTGAACTTCTGTTTCCAATAGAAAAAATATTCAAAAGTACACCACAAATAACACTAGAACCCTGGACCACTATCTCTATACTATTGCTGGTCCTACAAAAAATATACTATACAAGTAAGATCAGCTAAAAATAAAACCATTTTTCATTTTATTTCCAATTTAAATATATCAGATCAAAACATTACCCAGTTAATATCAACTTTCTAAACTTGCAGTCATGATGTTGGACCAACATATTCACTAAGTCAACTTGATAATTTTTTAGTATCGTATTCGCCACTATTAGCAATATTCCTGCAATGACGAAAGACAGGATACCAGAGATGGGCTTTACATATTGTACCCATGAGGGGAATGTAACACAGGCCTTTGGCATGATGAACGAATACTCTAACACACAGGGTACCTCACTATCCAGCTAAATTGTTTGTATAGCTTGATAATAATATGTGTATCAGAGACGACATAAGATAATCTCCAACCTACGGATGTGTTACATGCACATTTCAATCCTGCATATATTGTGACTATGCGCTTACTGAAATATTACAGGTCTCTTTAATATGTTTGAGGGTAAACAAACTAACATACAACAACAAACATGGAACTTTGTACTCAGTAAAACATTCAAAATAATATTTTCAGCACTGAATCAATTTCGGTTATCTAATCATATAACATGTAGCATATAGTATTATTATTATGCACACGTGGTTGTCATTATGTCTTACATCGAACTCACCTTTTTCAGAACAGACTTGATTCCATCCTCATTGTGATCTACGAGATGTACAGAGCCCTGTCCACCCTTTCCGATGCGTTCCAAAATCTGAAAATTAAATCATACATAGAACCAACCATTCAAAACAACGACGACTACCTGTTTATAAAAATAGTAATAGGTGACATTAAATATTTGACGAGAGATCGCAGACATAACGTTCTCCTCACCCTGTAGTTCTCCATTCTTGACAACCTGACGCCGGCGAAGTGCGCATGCGTGTTGTCTATCGCCGGTCATAACCCGCTAACTTTGAGTCCTTGGTTACCGAAGAGGCACCCGATGGTCGTACGGTAGATATAAATCATAACAAATTATATCTCTATATTTCAAACTGTTAGAGACCCTGTTTGACAGTTACGATAGTGTAAAGCAAGGTGAATTTGTAAAAATAGACGCAGAGTTTAAGAAACTATTTCACTGTCATAGTTTGAAATTGTGATGTCATAATGTATAATCCTACTGTGACGTCATAGTGAGGGCGTCAAATCGGGGTCATCTCAAAGTAATGTATTCTTTTAAAACAATAGAATAGAATAGAATAGAATAGAATAGAATAGAATAATACTTGAATGCCTTTTCAGGTATTTGTGTTACATCAGCAGAGCTACTGACACATTAGAGAGATACCAAACATATTTACATAAATTCTTTGATTTCGTTATCTTCACATTTGTTTAAGAGAGATATGGTAATTGGAATAAAGGATGTGCGGGCTCTCTTAGATTTCACAATTGGAACTTTGTAGCGGCGGCCTGAAGGGAGGAGGTTGTATTCCGAATTTAAATAGTGAGTACGGTCAGATATGATTTTGACAGCTTGATTCACGATTTGCCGCTCATATATTGATGATAAATATTAACCTTTGTGGTCTTTGGAAAAACCAATAGCGAAAATGTTTTGCTTACATTATTGATTTCACTTTTGTTTATCTGTTGGTACATTATAACGGTATTCCAAGGTTTCTGTAATGTTCGTTACCTTGGCAAAATGACATTATGGGGATTAAACAATGAATGATCGTCTCTTTGTCTGAGTTGGGTTATCCATGTTACACTGCAGCATGGTATTTAGTTTCGTTAGCAATATAATAGTATTCCGCCCCTGACAACCCGACATTAGTCGGGACAAGTAGACAGACACAGACAGAGACGCGCACGCTGGAAAATTGCAATAACCTTGATCGCCAAGTTAAACTTCATTTTAACCCACATCTCACATGACAATAGCTCCTGGCTATAGGGGCGGTGGGGTAGCCTAATGGTAAAGCGTTGGCTCGTCACGCCGAAGACCCGGGTTCGAATCCCCACATGGGTACAATGTGTGAAGCCCATTTCTGGTGTCCCCCGCCGTGATGTTGCTGGAATATTGCTAAAAGCGGCGTAAAACCAAACTCAGTCATTCAGTCAGTCCTGGCTATATGCAGTGAGTTATTATGCTGGCACGTGTATACCCATTTGGGGAATAGTACCCGGTCTATGGTGCTTTAAAGGCTACCTCACCTCCCACGCGATACAGTGGGAACGATCACGGGACCCTGTATTTGTTTTCTTCATTAAATATGAAAAAGTACCACACAAGTTTTGAATCCAACAATCATCAGTTTTGTTCCTGAAAATGACAAGAATGGTCCCTTTCTGCCACTCTTTAACCACATATGTATTATGATATATTTTTTCAAATAGCGAATGTGTGTGTGCGTGCGTGCGTGTAATATAGTGTTAAAACTTAGGGACCGTTCATAATTTTATGGCTGGGGTATGATGATTTTGTTATAGGGGTCACCCAGGATTGTTCTGGGTTTTAAGCAGTTTTGTACACATGGGGTGGCGGGGTGGTGGTGGTTAGCAGTTTGTCAGCACATTTGTGGTAATTGATTTTGTTCAATTTGTGGTAATTGATTTTGTTGGGTGGGGTGGGGTAATTTTCTTTGTACATAAAGTTTAGAGGGGGTCAGTCACATTGTACATGCTTCTCCATAAATGTCATCATCATCATCATCATCATCATCATCACACACACGTGCACACACACACAGTCATAAATTATGCACGGTCCCTTACTTGAAAAGTAATACATTTATAGTTATTTGAGGAACACTAACATAAAGATAAAATGATAACCGAATTTGTACTGGTGTTTTTTTAAGAAAGGTGTCCTTCATTAGAATATCCCACCGGCTAAAACATAAAGTGACGTATGATGTAATGCTGAGGTAATATTCTTCTGTCACAATTTAGTATGTGTAAGAATTGTGTGATTCATGTATGTATGTTTTAATAGTTAGGTAATAATATCCTTTACCTATATTTATTTAATTGTTATTTAAAAAAGGAATTATTTAATTTTGAAATTAGAGTAAGGGATGGTGTTTTGCAATGTTCATGTGTCATAAAACGTTGTTCCCAGAAACATAAACAATCACGCGAATACTTCCCAGTAACGATTCGAGCTCCGCAACATCGCCTTCGTTCTAAAATGTACAAAAATCTGTTTGGAATGTCGTGATGCGGAGTTCTGTTGACAAAAAGAAAATGTCGGATATCTTTTTACGTAAAATTTGTCGCAGCTTTTAACGATAATTCTGAAGTCGTCAACCTTGTGCAGCGATTTGACCGAGTGTCTCCTTCATTTAGGAAGGAAGAAGATGGATATGGCTGGAGAGATTATTCACCTGAACGTCGGTGGGTCCAGATTTTCCACTTCTCGTCAGACTTTAACATGGATACCCGATTCTTTTTTCACCAGTATGCTGAGTGGTCGAATTTCAACACTGAAAGATGAAACAGATGCGATATTCATCGACCGGGACCCACAACTGTTTACTGTTATCCTCAACTTCCTGAGAACGAAAGAGGTGCATCTGAAAAACGTGGATCTACCAGCTCTTCGACATGAAGCCGAATTCTATGGCATCACGCCACTGGTTCGTCGTTTGATGTTGTGCGAGGACTTGGATTGCGCCTCATGTGGAGATGTCTTGTTCCACGGGTACCTCCAACCTCCACTGCCGCCAGTTGCCGAAGGTATGTCAACATCCTCAGATAGCAGCTTGGACAACAGTGAACCACCCTGCAGACCAGGAACAGCTTTGAGAGTTTCAGATGGTGCTTCAGCATCATGTCCTGTCCATTCCAGAAATTCTTCACTTGACGCTCGAGCATCTCACTCAAGACAGGGTTCAAATGATTGGAGGATAAAAGATCAAATGAGAAATTCATCTTCTGATTTACGCCATTCTAGAAATTCCTCCCTTGATCTGACGAAAACCTTCTGCAACAAGGATACATCCACACATACATCGTTCGTGGATCCCCTTCGAGTTACTATGGTTCGTGGTCATCATAACTGGATCTGTATAGCCTACCCTCACTTTGTCTGCTGTTACAGAATGAAGGACTCGACTGGATGGCATCTCATCTGGGTCAGCCCCCATATGGAGCCCCAAGTTGAAAGAATAGCCATCAATGCTAAAGTGCTGAATCCAAATCAAGACAACACACATAAAATGGTCACAGCATCAACTGCAAATCTCATCCATCTATGGTCCATCAGTGATGACGGGGAAAGTAGAGAAATAGGTGTGTTTAACCTAAACGTGTCTGTTGACTCACTTTTCTTCATTGGAAGTCAGTTGGTAGCTCTCAGTCAGACTGGAAAAGTTGGAGTTTGGCATTCCATGACGCAGCACTGGCAGATTCAAGATGTTGTCCCAATCAGGAGCTACGACACTGCTGGCTCCTTCCTCCTCCTTGGCTGTAACAATGGCTCGATCTACTACATTGACATGCAGAAGTTCCCTTTGAGAATGAAAGACAATGATCTGCTGGTAACTGAACTGTATAAAGATCCTAATAATGATATGGTTACTGCTCTCAGTGTCTACCTCACCCCGAAAACAAGCCTAAGTGGAAACTGGATTGAGATTGCATATGGCACCAGCTCGGGGACTGTTCGTGTCATTGTTCAACACCCAGAAACGGTTGGTCATGGACCACAGCTGTTCCAAACATTTACAGTGCATCGCAGTCCTGTTACGAAGGTCATGCTGTCCGAGAAGCATCTAGTATCAGCTTGCTCTGAGTATAATCATGTCCGTAGCTGGAGTGTGACACGTTTCAGGGGAATGATCTCAACTCAGCCTGGATCTACGCCCCTTGCATCCTTCAAGATTGTCTCCCTTGAAGACCTTGACCCTCATATTAGCTATTCTGCTGGAAATGACTTTGGTCCGTTTGGAGAACGGGATGACCAACAGGTCTTCATACAGAAAGTAGTTCCTGAAACTGACCAGCTGTTTGTGCGACTGTCCTCAACTGGTCAGCGAGTTTGTGTGATTAAATCAGTGGACACCAGCACAGTAAGTGCGTTCTGTGTTCATGAATGTGAAGGCTCAAATCGAATGGGATCTCGACCTCGACGTTATCTTTTCACAGGGCATTCAAATGGAAGCATTCAGATGTGGGATCTGACAACTGCTCTTGACTTGATGAACAAAACAGAACAAATTCCAGTTGTTGGTGGCCCCAATCCTTGTGAGCTGGTTCGCCTTCTGGACCAGTGTGACCTCAGCTCGTCACGCTGTTCCACCCCGTGTCTCAGCCCATCGCCATCTCTGCTCACTGGCCCAGGCTTCCAGATGCCAGGGACGAAGCTCGGGCCGCCATGCCAGCACACAGCTCCATCTCCGGCAGCCACCAAAGCCTCGTCCAGATTGCAGGGGCTGAAGAAGGTGCAGAGGGGGGAGCCAGGAACACACTGCCCAGACCAACACCCCAAGTTACCAAATTTTAAATTGATCAAGCATTCAAGAACAAAGAAGTTGTTTTGTATAAGTGACGACTACATTAGGCAACGTGCAAGATGAAGCATTAGGAGGTCTTAACAATGACTTGAATGTTAAATTTTTAAGATTTAGGTAGTCCCTTGGTCATTTCATTTAGATATACTACTCAACTTTTAATAGGATTTGTGAGTATCCATGTGAGCTCTGTATGCAACCATTTGCTTGGATATGTTGTCATGCTAATAGGATTTGTCATACAACAGAAGAATGTGCAGCTTTATAGGTTGATTAAAAATGCATACAAAGTTTAAAAAATCTTTTTATCATCCCAGTATCCCAAATATCTCTGTATCCCTTTAAATTGTTGAGTAGTAATGCACAAAATATGTTTATTGTTATGTTACACAAACTATACTCAAAGGACACATGGAGTCTTCTTAATGTTAATTTCAAACTTTGTTAGATGAGAGATCCTATTAGAGAGAGACTGCACCATTTCTGGACTGTGTATAGACGGTGATATTACTTTTTGTTGATATTTTGTTGGAAGTCCTGGTACAGATAAAACCAGATACACAGGGTAGTGCCCGGCCCTAGTGAGAAGAGACATAAAGACAATTTGACAAAACACAAGCAACATTATTGAATGGTTTTCAGACCTAAACACTGGTGTTCTTACTATACGTGCAAGTGTGATATTATCTGTGTTAGGTTTATTGTTAACATTTAGATTGATGTATATTGTACTGTGTGAGTCTACAGACAAAGTGCTGTTCGGAGTCTGCCCACTGGCCAGAGCGTAATGATTTTGAACATGTTTAAGTATCTTATATTTATGTAAGTTACTTTATTCATTAGGTATGAGTTCAACCCATTTAGCACCCTGCAATCAGTACAGAGGAGATATTGCTGTGCAGCAAGCATGTACACTGTACAATGGATCACTGTACAATGTGCAAGCATGTACACTGTACAATGGATCACTGTACAATGTGCAAGCATGTACACTGTACATGTACACTGTACAATGGATCACACTGTACAATGTACAATGGATCACTGTACAATGTGCAAGCATGTACATACCATGGATCACTGTACAATATGCAAAGCATATACACTGTACAATGTGCATGTACACTGTACAATGGATCACTGTACAATGCAAGCATGTACACTGTACAATGTGCAAGCATGTATCACTGTACAATGGCAAGCATGTACACTACTAATGGATCACTGTACAATGGATGTCACTGTACATGGAATGTACAATGTGCAAGCATGTACACTGTACAATGGATCACTGTACAATGCATGTACACTGTAGCATGTACAACACATGTACAATGGATCACTGTACAATGGTGCAAGCATGTACACTGTACCATGGATCACTGTACAATGGATCACAGTTCATTTAAGATGCTGCAGATGTTTTTCATCTTTTTCATCTTTTACAAGTTTCTATGTCTGGATAAACATCTGTTATTGAATATTTAACTTTCATTAAGGAAATGTCCCCAAACATGAATTGTAAACCAAAAGTCACTGTTTTCTTTAATCTGATTGGTTGAAAAACATGATCAAATGATCCCGGAAATTGAAAGATCATTCGCTACTTATTAATACGTACAACTATTGCCCACACCATTGTATTGTTACGTCGTCAGCAGTGGTCACGTCATTCAAATCATATTGTGATGTAAAGTCGGAATGACGTCACTAATGAGCAGTTCCTGATGCTACCATGGGAGACAGCCGAAATGGCCGGCTGATGACACTTCACTGCTGTACCCATACTCAACGTCAATGAGTGCAGACACACAAACGTGTGTGGACCTTTTGGTTTACTTTTGTGTTTACAATGTCGATGTGATACATCATGTGTTGGCCAATTTCTGGGTGTTATTGAGTATTTGAAGCATGGGAACATGTCATCTGAAACCTCCGGCTAACGCTGTCAGTATATTTCATTAGAAACCTCTGGGTAATGCCGTCAGTATATTTCATTTGAAATCTCTGGATAACGCAGTCGGTTCCAAATGAACTCCCGTGCTTCAAATACTCAATAACAACTGGAAATTGTCCTTTTAGCCTAGTTATCCTCTGTTGTACAGTTAGATGTGTTGTAATCACAAAGCCCGAGGGAGAGTTAGCGTTTGTTACGAAATTCTTGTATTTTGATCATAAAACTCAAAGCCCCAGTATATGTACTGTCTATTGCTCAAAAGAAATTAAGGAACACCTTGTGTTTCAGGGCCTATATTTTCGAAGCTCTCTTAGCGCTAAGATAGTCGTAAGTGCCATACATTAACATTAACTTACGACTATCTTAGCGCTAAGAGAGCTTCGAAAATATAGGCCCTGATGACCACAACTAGTCTGTCATGCCAATCATGAACACAACTGGAGTTCGTTAACTTCTTTTGAAGCAATATGCATTACATACATTGGGGCTTTGAGTGTTATGATCAAATACAAGAATTGTTTGTAAAAATCATATATAACAGGTGAGAGTACAAAATTCCAACAGAGGTATAAGTGTTTATTATGGCTGCGCTAAAAGTTGTCAGAAGACTTTGTGGAGTCACAGAACTACAGAAGCAGGGTGCTAAATATCTTCAACAAATTTTAGGCTTCAGGCTAGGCAAGTGTTTGATGAGATATGACTTTATAAAATATGTTTTGTGGTTTAGAAATGTCACAAATAAGAATAAAAGTGTAATTTCACTTAACATAATTGTACAGGAATGTTTTATTTATGTCTGCCTTATGTATTTTGCTGGGCTCTCTGATAAAAAATTGTGATGTACTTTTGATCATTTCTTAATGCAGCTATGGGAAATGAACGCCTGAAAGTTCAAGTGTTCCTTTATTCTCTTCCACATTTCTTCACAAGGTATGTATTGCACTGTGAGTGAAAGGAACACTTGTACTGTCATGTGTTACCTTATTTGTTTCCATGAGCCACATGGGTACAATGTGTGAAGCCCATTTCTGGTGTCCCCCGCCGTGATATTGCTGGAATATTGCTAAAAGCGGCGTAAAACCCAACTCACTCACTCATTCATGAGTATATATATATATAGATACACCCAGTCACGTTAGTTCTAGCAAGTGTACATTTATGATATTTATTGTGTTTATTATGTATATTTTCTTATGACATATTTCCTCTTATCCTCCCTCTGTGAGTAGTACTTGATGAAATGCAAGTTTAAGGGTGTTAGAGAATAATATGACTTCAGAAAGTATTTCCCCAGTTCCCGGTGTTGCCATGGTTACCATGTTGTTACTGTTGTTGTGGTTTCAACATGTGCAGTATATATTGACAGGTGATATGTTAGATCTGTTGCCACTGTCCTAGACTGGTACTGTTTGTTGAAGCATTGTTGACTAGTGATGTGTAAATCCAGTAACATCGGTGAACAGACATATGTAAAGTGCAATATTAAGTAGTGTGACATTGAATGTCATGACGACATGAGAAAACTTACACAATCTGTTATGGAGGCTTACAGGAATAATATTTGGGGGATGTGCAGGTTTTCCGCAACGCACATATGCACGTCCAGTATGCACAAATGTAGAGAATGGACACAGAAAAAAAATTCCCTGTGTCCAGATGGATGCACAATATTATTCATTTTACCCACAACACATCTATGACTTAGTAAAGTGTTTGGTTGTTTCTTTCTGAACACTGCATCATTTCATACGGCATTAATAAAGATTGGGTACAACAAGGACTGATCGGCGTTCGATGGTCAGTATAATGTGTCTGAGTGGGGTATTCATGCTTCACTGCGGCATGGTATCTCAGTGGGCTAGCACTATAAAACCAGCTTCTTTAGTCTGGGCTAGTACAAGATTCAGAAGCTCTCTTAAGCTAAGAGATATTAAGTACATGTTAATGTATGGCATACTATCGTCGTCATATGAGAGATAACCTAGTGGTTAAAATATTCTCAAGCACGACGTTAAACCCAATTTCACCTCACCTCTTTCTGAACAGTTACTTGCATCATTTCATACATCAGTCCACATGATCAATGATTCATTCCAGGCTCTCAAGAAATTATCAAGGGGTACAGTTCTCTACACTGTTACTTCACAGGATCCTCGTATTAAAAATAATAATTAGGGATCACCAAGGTTGAGGTGAAACCCTGGTTGTGAATGTTGAAACATGGATGTACTCAGAGGGTAACCACTAAACCCCGAGTCCACACTATTGGTTGTATCCAATCAGTCGGCACCTATTTCCTGTTTATAGTTTGTGACTTTTGTGTTCATGTAAAGTAAGTATATTTTGATGAACACATAGTCTTAATTGATTTGCACTATACTGTTTGATTAATGAACAAGTGTCTTTTTATAAACCTGTGGCACAACTTGACTGGCTTGTAACTTATAACCCTATCTTTGACTTACTTATTATTGACCGTATTTATCCCAATAAGCACCCCAGGATCTATAAAATGTCACAAAGGGTGTTAATAAAACCATACTCAACTCAAATTTGTTTTCAGAGAACAAGTGATAGTGAACAAAATTAGTTCAGATTCATCAAGCTAATTTCAATGTAATGTAGTTATGTGGTAAGTATTCAATACTTACTATGCTACCATTTCCTGCAAATGAATATAATATATGCTGCAATATATGAACTGTCAGGTATAGTTGGGGTGTTTAAGTAGGGACACTTATAAAGATTACCCCGGTACTCTGGGTTGGTCTAGAACTTGGTCTGGCAGAGTATATTGGAGCAGCGCTCCGTATCATGAATACAGTAATTTTAATTGGTAATTTGCTTGTATGGAATAAAAATGGTGAAGAAATATTGAACGTGGACAGCCTTTACCTGTAGGGACCGTTCATAATTGATGACTAGGGGGGGGTGATGATGATTTTTATGGAGAAGCATGTACAATGTGAATGACCACCCCACCAAAAAATTTTATGTACAAAATAAGTGACCCCCCTGCATGTCGTACAAAATCAATGCCCCCTTCCCTTTCCAATAACTTTAAAGATATTTTTATGTACAAAATTGCTGACAACCCACCACCCCCCAGTATGTGTGTACAAAATTGCTGACCCCCCTAGCTCCCCAGAACAAAATGGGTGACCCCCCTTAAAATCATAAATATAACTTGTAATGTTATGTATCAAATGTATTGCGATACAGTTGTAAATTGATGTATTGTATCATGATACAATTGTGTATTACTGTATCATTCCACTACCATCAGTGATGTGAAGTGCGTCATGTTACATCTGGATCTGGTTCTTTCACTGTCATGGGCATTTACCATGTTTCCAGTTCATATTTTATGCTTCTATTATCAATTATATTTGTACAGGACACAATAGTTGGCGCCAGGTAAAACCTGGTTATCATTGTACAGACTTACTATTTATGTCATTGTGATTATATGTGTCCCAATAACAGCATGAAGCAAGGAAATAAAATTGGTTTGAAAATGTGCAAGGATTGTAATTGTTTACATTTTCTACCAAAATTCCGTCAGCCCAGGCCCTTTTTGTAATTAATGGATCCTCCAGTCAGAAGTGCTGAGAACATGGAATAAAAATATTCATAATCACAAAATGTTCTTTTGACAGCAAACTTAAAAATGTCATGGTTATCTGTTTGACAATTTTTCTTGGCATGATGTTGGTCATTCTAACAGACAGCTTGGGTTATCTGGGGTAGTGGTGGTCCGATTAATTGAAATAATCGAAGATTGGTCGCAGTGAGTAAACGACCAAGCAATCGATCATGTTTTCTCATAATCGAACACAAACGATTCTGGAACACTAGTTTTCATAAACAATATATTTCACATGGTTGGTTTTGTCTGTTACATTTCTTAAGCACTACAAGCTCGTTTCAAGTCATGATTGAATTTATCTTAAAGACTCCAAGAAATTTATGTTCCTGACATACTAGTCATCCTTTAAAGATGTGAAATTTTGCCAAAAATCCCAAAAGAACTACGTT